GGCAGCACCGAGTCCCCAAGCTAGTAAATAAATAAATAAATAATATTGACAGAAAGCAAGGAAAGGAATACATATTGTCATTATCATCTTGGGAATATTAGCCAATGAATTCGAGTTGTTAGAGCGTAGAACATGAAACTGAAGGCTTCTGCAGAAGTTGGTCTGATGATCTGGCAAGCATGGGCAAACTTGGGCCGTCCAGCTGTTAGGAATTGTGGGAGTTGAAGTCCAAAACACCTGCAGGGCCCAAGTTTGCCAATAATAATAATAATAAACTTTATTTATACCCCGCCACCATCTCCCCAAGGGCACTCGGGGCAGCTTACATGAGGCCATACCCTTCAATACAGTAAACACAATATAGCACAAAAACACAACAGAAAAATCAGAAAATAAAATAACATAAAATACAAAACCAATGTAAATAAGCAGCACAACAATATAAAAGCAAAACATTAAAACACTAAAAATGATCACAGTGTCCAGGGCCAATTCAAGGATTAAAATTTTAAAACACTGGGAGATAGGGCAGTGTAAAATATCAGGAAGGGGATCGGGAGATAAGGTAGGATTTCATTGCACAAACCAGAGAATAAAGTGCTTCTGAGGACGTTTTATGCAGAGTTTGGTCAGGGATTATCATACATTGGAATAGCCAAGTTTTCAGGCTCCTAAAGATTTCCAGAGTGGGGCCTTGCCTAATATCTCTGGGGAGCGAATTCCAGAGCCGAGGGGCCACCACAGAGAAGGCCCTCTCTCTCGTCCCCACAAGTTGTGCTTGCGATGAAGGTGGGAGCGAGAGAAGGGCCTCTCCGGAAGATCGAAGAGGTCGCGTGGGTTCGTAGATAGAAATGTGGTCGCGCAGGTAGGTGGGTCCCAAACCGTTCGGGGTTTTGTAGGTCAAAACCTGCACCTTGAATTGGGCCCGAAAAATAAATGGCAGCCAGTGGAGCTCCTTAAACAGGCGGGTTGACCACTCCCTGTAACTTGCACCAGTTAGAAGTCTGGCTGCTGCTCGTTGGACCAGTTGGAATTTCCGTGCCGTCTTCAAGGGCAGCCCCACGTAGAGTGCCTTGCAATAGTCCAATCTAGAGGTAACTAAGGCATGGACCACCATGGCCAAATCCGACTTCACGAGGTACGGTCGCAGCTGGTGCATGAGCTTCAGTATTGCGAAGGCTCTCCCAGCCCATGCCTGTCTTATGGCATCAGCTCAACTCTTCTTGGTTCCTATATGTCTTCCTCAACACCAAGTCAACCTCAGAGCTATTGACTGGCCTCTCACAGTAAGCCTAGGGAAAAGAAGATGGACGAATCCGGGACTTTTCTATGGCCTCCCTCCCCAAGGTACCTGGCAAAGTCCAGGCCAAATGCCAGCCTCAGAAGCACACGGTGTCCCCAGTTCTCTATGCAAACGTGCCAAGAATACAGGCAGTCCCCAAGTTACGGACAATATCGGTTCTGTAGGTGTGTTTGTAAACTGGATTTGCTATTTGCACCAGGATTTTGGTGAGCAGAACGTGTGAATCATGCACCCCTGCACAATACAGACTCGGACTGATTCATTTGAAGGCACCATCATAGAACTAACTGTCTTTCATTGTAAGCATAGCATTTCCATCGGTCAGGGCCCAGATGTGGCTGCAAGTCATCGAAAGCTGAGTAATCCAGTGATGCCAACGCAATGCATCCACACACTAGTCCTATTTTTCTTTGCTAGTGGGGAATAACAATTGGCTTTGGGAATTGCAGCGGCTGGCAGCACTCTGAATGGCTCCACAACACCGGAATTGCAGTCACAGTGGAGCCTCTGTCTCAATGGTTCTCAACCTGTGGCCATGATGTTGTCACAGATTATTATTATTATTATTATTATTATTATTATTATTATTATTATTACTATTTGAAACACCACAAGATGAGTCCACAGCAGACTCTCTGCTGGGTGTTGTATTGGATCACACGTCGGACACTTCCCAAATTATTATTATTATGCCCAAATTATTATCACTCCCTCTGAGGATGCTTGCCATAGATGCAGGCGAAACGTCAGGAGAGAATGCCTCTAGAACATGGCCATATAGCCCGAAAAAACCTACAACAACCCATTATTATTATTATTATTATTATTATTATTATTATTATTATTATTTATATCCCACTTTTTCTCTCCCTACGGAGACTCAAAGCGGCAAACATTAAAAGCATTTCAATACAATTTTAAGTATGCAAACATTAAAACAATATTAAACATCATTAGTATTAAAATCAATCCAGTTAAAGGGTTGCTGCAAGTTTTCCGGGCTGTCCAGCTATGTTCCAGAAGCATTCTCTCCTGACGTTTCGCCCACATCTATGGCAGGCATCCTCAGAGGTTGTCAGGTCTGTTGGAAACTAAGCAAGTGGGGTTTATGTATCCAGAGAAGAAACAATCGGGGCCAGCTATCACTTCCCAACAAAGGATGCCTCCAGGCAGGAAGCAGCCAGAGTTTGAAGCTGTATGGCCATTCAATGCTAGAAACAGGCCAAGTGGGGGTTATATAAACCTGTGGAATGTCCAGGGTGGGAGAAAGAACTCTTGTCTGCTTGAGGCAAGTGTGAATGTTGCAGTTAGCCACCTTGATTAGTATTTAATTGCCTTGTAGCTTCAAAGCCTGGCTGCTTCCTGCCTGGGGGAATCCTTTGTTGGGAGGTGTTCTCCCACTCTGGACATTCACATATATAGAAATTTTAATTGGTATTGAATGGCCTTGCAGCTTCAAAGCCTGGCTGCTTCCTGCCTGGGGGAATCCTTTGTTGGGAGGTGTTTTCCCACTCTGGACATTCAGAGATACAGAAACCTTAATTGGTATTGAATGACCTTTCAGCTTCAAAGTCTGGCTGCTTCCTGACTGGGGGAATCCTTTGTTGGGAGGTGTTTTCCCACTCTGGACATTCACAGATATAGAAACCTTAATTGGTATTGAATGACCTTTCAGCTTCAAAGTCTGGCTGCTTCCTGACTGGGGAAATCCTTTGTTATGAGGCTTTAGCTGTCCCTGATCGTTTCCTATCTGGAATTCCCCTGTTCTTTGAGTGTTGATCTTTATTTACTGTCCTGATTTTAGAGTTTTTAAATATTGATAACCAGAGTTTGTTCATTTTCAGGTTTTCTTCCTTTCTGTTGAAAGTGCAACACTCAAAAAACAGATAAAATGCCAGGCATGAAACAATCAAGGCCAGCTGACACCTCCTAACAAAGGATTCCCCCAGGCAGGAAGCAGCCAGGCTTTGAAGCTGCAAGGCCATTCAATTCTAATCAATGTGGCCAATTGCAACATTCACACTTGTCTCAAATAGACAAGAGTTCTTTCTCCCACCCTGCACATCATTTCACACATACACACATACACAGACCTCATTTTCCTAGTTTCCAACAGACCTCACAACCTCTGAGAGGAACCCCTTCCTCAAGGAAGAGAGCAAAAGGAAGGGCTGCCAAGTGAAGAAGGGCTTCTTGCAGCCAAGCCCAGCATCCTGCCTGCTCAGGAGAGCCCGGTTTCAGACAAAGCCCTAGGCAAGGAGACCCTGGCAGAGTCCAAGGCCAGGCTGCATTCTGGAGCTCTGAAGGAATGAATGAATGGGGAGCCCTTCAAAGAAGAGCAGGCTTTCTGGGTGAGGATGATGGGAGTGGAAGTTCCGACAAGGACTGGGCCTGAGAGGCTGGCAATGCAGGCAGCATTTATCCTGCAGAAGAAGCAAGCAGAGGAGGAGGAGGAGGAGGAAGAGCAGTTCTCTGCCAGCTGCCCATTCTTCACCTCCTCCTTCTCTTTCTCATTCGCTTTCTCCTTCCCTCAATCCTCCTCTCCATATCCTTTCTCTTTTTCCTCTCCTCTTCTTTCCCCTTCTCTTTATCCTCTTGCTCCTTCTTCCTCTCCTCCTTCTATCCACCTCCTGCTCCTCTATGCTTTCTCATTCGCCATATTTCTCTTCCTCCTTCTTTTTCTCCTTCTCTTCTGCCTCCTCTTTATCCCTTTCTTTCTCCTCATCTTCTTCCTTTTCTTGCTCTTCTCCTTATCCCCCTGCTCCTCCTTTTCCTCCTCTTTTCCATCTCCTTCTGTTTCTCCCTTTTTCTCCCTCTCCTTCTAGTCCTCTTGCCCCTTCTCTTTATCCTCTTGTTCCTTCTTCCTCTCCTCCTATCCACCTCCTGCTCCTCCTTTCTTTCTCATTCTCAATCTCTTCCTCCTCCTTTCTCCTTATCCTCCTTCTCCTCCTACTTTCTCTTCTCCTCTGTATCTTTCCTTCTCCCTCCTCTTCTTCTCTGTCTCCTTCTCTCTCTTCTCCACCTGTTTTTCCTCCTTCTCTTCCTCCTTCTTCTCATCTTCTCCCTTTTTCCTTCTCTTTTTCCTCCTGCTTTTTCCTTCTCCTCCCTTATCTCCTTCTCCCTCTTCTCCATCTTTCATTCTCCCTCTCCTTCTACAACCCCTTCTCCTCCTTCTTTTCTCCTTTCTTCCTCTCCTCGTTTATCCTTTCTCCTCCCCTTCCATCTGCTTCTCCTCCTCCTCTTTCTCCTTCTCTTCCTTTTTCTCCTTCTCTTTCTCCCCTTTTCCTTCTCTTTCCCTCCTCTTTCTCCTTCTTCTCTACCTCCTTCTCCTCTTTTCCCCCCTTTCTCCATCTTTCATTTTCCCTCTCCTTCTCCCCTCTCTTCTTCCTCCTCCTCCTCCCTCTTATCCTTTTCTTTCTCCCTCTTCTCCATCCCCTTTCCTCTTCTCTCCTCTTCCTCCTCTTTCCTCCTTCTCTTCCCCTTTTTCCTTCTCCTCCCTCTTCTCCATCCCTTTCTCCATCTTTCATTCCCCCTCTCATTCTTTCCCCTTCTCTTCCTCCTCCTCCTTTTCTCCTTTCTCCCTCTCCTGCCTTATCTCCTTCTCCCTCTTCTCCATCCCCTTCTCCTCCTCCTTTCTCATCTTCCCCCTTTTTGCTTCTCTTTTCCCTCCTGCTTTCTCCCTCTCTTCCCTTCCGACCTTGATGCGCTCTCCCTGGATCTCCACGGCCTTCTCCCTGAAGTCCACGCCGATGGTGGCCTCGGTGCTGGCCGGGAAGGCTCCCCCGCAGAAGCGCACCGTCAGGCAGGTCTTGCCCACGTTCGAGTCCCCGATCACGATGATCTTGAAGATCCGCGCCTGCACCGACTGCTCCAGGGAGCTCTCCACCTCCATCGCCTCCTCGGGAGGAGGAGGGAGAAGGAGAAGGAGAAGAAGGCTCAGCCTCGCCAAGGCATGGCAGCCCAGCCAAGGAGGAGAGAAGGAAGGAGAGAAGGAAGGAGAGGAAGAAGGAAGGAAGGAAGGGCGTCGCCGGAGCCTCGCACCTTCCCGGTGCAGCCAGCCCTCTCCCACTGGCGGAACTGGAGGAGGAGGAGGAGGAAGAAGAAGAGGAGGAGGAGGAGCCCCAGGATCCCAAGCAGCCCCTTCCCTGCCTTTGCGACCCATTGTGTCCGGGAAACAAGCTCCTGGCCTCCTTCCCCATCCTTACCTCCCTTGCCTCAATTGCAACACTGCTTCCAAGCCTTGGGCCATTTTCTCTGGCCTCTTTTCCCATTTTGTCCACCCCTTTCTTCAATGGGGAGCACAAGGTTGTTCCAGGTGAGCCCCCTGCAAAGCAACATGCAAGGAGAAACAGGCCTTCCCAGTGGATATTATGCTTCTGAGTTGTAGGTTTTTTCAGGCTATATGGCCATGTATTGTCGAAGGCTTTCATGGCTGGAATCACTCAGTTCTTGTGGTTTTTTCGGGCTATATGGCCATGTTCTAGAGGCATTTCTCCTGACGTTTCGCCTGCATCTATGGCAAGCATCCTCAGAGGTGAGGTGCATCTTGCCATAGATGCAGGCGAAACGTCAGGAGAAATGCCTCTAGAACATGGCCCATATAGCCCGAAAAAACCCACAAGAACTGAGTATATGGCCATGTTCTAGAGGCATTCTCTCCTGACGTTTCGCCTGCATCTATGGCAAGCATCCTCAGAGGTGAGGTGCATCTTGCCATAGATGCAGGCGAAACGTCAGGAGAAATGCCTCTAGAACATGGCCATAGCCCGAAAAAACCCACAAGAACTGAATTAGGGGAGAAAGTTCTTCCTCTCAGCTCACCAAATGGGCATCCTCAGAGGTGAGGTGCATTTTGGGAACTAAGAGAGAATGTTGACATTGTATTGCTGAAGGCTTTCATGGCTGGAACCACTGGGTTGTTGTTGGTTTTTCAGGCTATATGGCATGTTCCAGAAGCATTCTCTCCTGATGTTTCACCTGCATCTATGGCAGGCATCTTCAGAGGTTGTGAGATCTCTTGGTAACTAGAAAAATTGGGTTTATATATCTGTGGAATGTCCAGGGTGAGACAAAGGACTCTTGTCTGCTGGAGCTTGGTGTTATTATGCTTATATTGCTGCAGCCTAGCACTACATTGGCTTGTTTTAGCTGCCACATCACACATCTCAAGACTAATGTATCCTCGAAGGCTTTCATGGCTGGAATCACTGGGTTGTTGTAGTTTTTTCAGGCTGTATAGCCATCTTCTAGAAGCATTCCCTCCTGACGTTTCGCCTGCATCTGTGGCAGACATCCTCAGAGGTTGTGAAGTTTCCAACAAAACAGTATACAAAGTGTCACGATACAATTTAAAAACATGGAGCCCCCGGTGGCGCAGTGGGTTAAACCCCTGTGCCGGCAGGACTGAAGACCGAAAGGTTGCAGGTTCAAATCCGGGGAGAGGCGGATGAGCTCCCTCTATCAGCTCCAGCTCCTCATGCGGGGACATGAGAGAAGCCTCCCACAAGGATGATAAAACATCAAATCATCTGGGCATCCCCTGGGCAACGTCCTTGCAGACGGCCAATTCTCTCACACCAGAAGCGACTTGCAGTTTCTCAAGTCTCTCCTGACACAAAAATAAATTAATTAAAATGGCCATACAGCCCGAAAAACCTGAGGATGCCTGCCATAGTTGCAGGCGAAATGTCAGGAGAGAATGCTTCTAGAACATGGCCATACAGCAGCAAAAACCCGAGGATGCCTGCCACAGGTGCAGGCGAAATGTCAGGAGAGAATGCTTCTAGAACATGGCCATACAGCCCAAAAAAACTGAGGATGCCTGCCATAGACGCAGGCAAAATGTCAGGAGAGAATGCTTCTAGAACATGGCCATACAGCAGCAAAAACCCGAGGATGCCTGCCACAGGTGCAGGCGAAATGTCAGGAGAGAATGCTTCTAGAACATGGCCATACAGCCCAAAAAACCTGAGAATGCCTGCCATAGACGCAGGCGAAATGTCAGGAGAGAATGCTTCTAGAACATGGCCATACAGCCCGAAAAACCGGAAGATGCCTGCCATAGGTGCAGGCGAAATGTCAGGAGAGAATGCTTCTAGAACATGGCCATACAGCCCGAAAAACCTGAGGATGCCTGCCATAGGTGCAGGTGAAATGTCAGGAGAGAATGCTTCTAGAACATGGCCATACAGCCCCAAAAACCCAAGGATGCCTGCCATAGGTGCAGGCAAAATGTCAGGAGAGAATGCTTCTAGAACATGGCCTAACAGCCCGAAAAACCCAAGGATGCCTGCCATAGATGCTGGGGAAATGTCAGAGGACCTCACAACCTCCGAGGATGCTTGCCATAAATGCAGGCGAAACGTCAGGAGAAAATGCTTCTAGACCAGGGGTTCTTAAACATTTTAAACAGAGGGCCAGGTCACAGTCCCTCAAACTGTTGAAGGGCCGGATTATAATTTGAAAAAAATTAATGAATTCCTATGCACACTGCACATATCTTATTTGTAGTGCAAAAAACACTTTAAAACAATACAATAATTAAAATGAAGAACAATTTTAACAAATATAACTTATTAGTATTTCAATGGGAAGTATGGGCCTGCTTTTGGCTGATGAGATAGGATTGTTGTTGTGAGCGAGGACCGGGTAAATGACCAGGAGGGCCGTATCCAGCCCCCCGGGGGCCTTAGTTTGAGGACCCTTGTTTTAGAAGATGGCCATATGGGCCGAAAAACCGACAACAACCCCTATCAAGACTCCTAGATCCCTTTGACATGTATTGTTTTCAATATGGCCCTGGACTTCAACAGCCAGCTAAGGATCACAAAGGATGGCAGCTGCAGCTTCTCCTCATCAGGAAGATGGAGATTCCTCACCTGCTTTGCATACAAAGAAATAGCCTTTCCTCCTTGTGAAACAGATCTGCGCTAATGAAGTTCTTCACATCCATTATTAAGGCCCCTTCTTTCTTCAACCTGGAAAGAAGTCAGGAGTGCCATGAGGAGGGTTCCACTCTGGGCCCAGTCCTGTTCAGGATCTTTATTAATGATATAGTCAGTGGTTCTTAACATGTTATAGAACTCCAATATGCTGATGACAATGTCATCTGTGCACATTCAGAAGAAGACCTACAAGCCACTCTAAACACCTTTGCAGAAACATACGAGAAGCTCGGCCTGTCATTGAACATCGAGAAAACCAAAGTGCTCTTCCAGCAGTCACCAGCCAATCCCTCTCCAATGCCAGAAATACAGCTTAATGGTGTAACATTAGAAAATGTTGACCATTTCCGCTACCTTGGCAGCCACCTCTCCACCAAAGTCAACATCGACACTGAAATTCAACACCGCCTGAGCTCTGCAAGTGCAGCATTTTTCCAAATGAAGCAGAGTTGTTGTAGGTTTTTTTCGGGCTATATAGCCATGTTCTAGAGCAGGAGTCCTCAAACTAAGGCCCGGGGGCCGGATGCGGCCCTCCAAGGTCATTTACCCGGCCCTCGCTCAGGGTCAACCTAAGTATGAAACTACTTGAAAGCACACAATAACAACAATTCTATCTCATCAGCCAAAAGCAGGCCCACAGTTTCCATTGAAATACTAATAAGTTTATATTTGTTAAAATTGTTCTTAATTTTAATTATTGTATTGTTTTTAAATTTTTTTTGCACTATAAATAAGATATGTGCAGTGTGCATAGGAATTCATTCATTTTTTTTCGAACTATAATCCGGCCCGCCAACAGTTTGAGGGACTGTGACCTGGCCCCCTGTTTAAAAAGTTTGAGGACCCCTGTTCTAGAGGCATTCTCTGACGTTTCGCCTGCATCTATGGCAAGCATCCTCAGAGGTAGTGAGGTCTGTTGGAACTAGGAAAAAGGGGTTATATATCTGTGGAATGACCAGGGTGGGAAAAGGACTCTTGTCTGCTGGAGCTAGGTGTGAATGTTTCAACTGACCACCTTGATTAGCATATAATGGCCTGACAGTGCCTGGAGCAAACTTTTGTTGAGAGGTGATTAGATGTCCTGGTTTGTTTCCTCTCTGTTGTTGTGCTGTTGTAATTTTAGAGTTTTTTTAATACTGGTAGCCAGATTTTGTTCATTTTCATGGTTTCCTCCTTTCTGTTGAATTGTCCACATGCTTGTGGATTTCAATGGCTTCTCTGTGTAGTCTGACATGGTGGTTGTGAGAGTGGTCCAGCATTTCTGTGTTCTCAAATAATATGCTGTGTCCCGGTTGGTTCATCAGGTGCTCTGCTATGGCTGACTTCTCTGGTTGAAGTAGTCTGCAGTGCCTTTCATGTTCCTTGATTCGTGTTTGGGCAATGCTGCTGCGTTTGGTGGTCCCTATGTAGACTTGTCCACAGCTGCATGGTACACGGTAGACTCCTGCAGAGGTGAGAGGATCCCTCTTGTCCTTTGCTGAACGTAGCATTTGTTGGATTTTCTTGGTGGGTTTGTAGATTGTTTGTATGTTGTGTTTCCTCATCAGCTTCCCTATGCGGTCAGTGGTTCCCTTGATGTATGGCAGGAACACTTTTCCTCTGGGTGGATCTTCATCTGTACTCTCGTGAACCCCATTCATTCTACAGTGTAGATGTCTGAGGTGGAGTCTCAGAAGCTGAGAGTGTTTGAGGACCGGAACATCCGTAGGGAGACCAAGGTGCTTGTCTATAAAGCTATTGTCCTCCCAACTCTGCTATATGCCTGAGAAACGTGGACTGTCTACAGGCGTCACATGCAACTCCTGGAACGATTGCCTCCAAGCAATCCTGCAAATCTCTTGGGAAGACAATTGGACAAATGTCAGCGTGCTGGAAAAAGCAAAGACCACCAGCATTGAAGCGATGGTCCTCCGCCATCAACTCCGCTGGACCGGCCACGTTGTCCAGATGCCCGACCACCGTCTCCCAAAGCAGTTGCTCTACTCCGAACTCAAGAATGGAAAACGGAATGTTGTATGCTAATTGGCAGGATGTACAATACCATTTGTGCAATATTTTCCTCCTCATTTCTCGTACTTTGGTATTCGTTTCCCTCCCTATTGTCTCTACCACATTTGTAACTCCGTTACCCACATAGTTTTGATAAATGTTTTTAATGTTTACGCATATTCATATGATGAATTCTTGTCCCGGCATTGAAGGAGGGCCCAAGTTTGCCCATGCCTGGTGTAGAGGAAGCCCAGAGCAGTGTTTCTTATGGCATACATTATGTGTCTTAAAAGCGATTATCAGTGAGACCATGAAAGGACAATGCGCTCCAACCATCCTGGTTGGCTTTCATTGAAGCACTTGGAATACAGTAGTTCAGTGTTTCTCAACCTTCCTAATGCCGCAACCCCTTAATACAGTTCCTCATGTGGTGGTGACCCCCAACCATAACATTACTTTCGTTATTATTTCACAACTGTCATTTTGCTCCTGTTGTGAATCGTAATGTGAATATCTCATATGCAGGATGCATTTTCATTCACTGGACCAAATTTGGCCCAAATACCTGATATACCCAAATGTGAATACTGGGGGGATTGATTTTATCATTTGGGAGTTGTAGTTGCTGGGATTTATAGTTCACCCACAATCAAAGAACATTCTGAACCCCACCAACGATGGAATTGGGCCAAACTTCCCACACTGGACCAAATTTGGCACAAATACCCAATACACCCAAATTTGAATACTGGTGGGGTTGGGATTGATTTTGTCATTTGGAAGTTGTAGTTGCTGGGATTTATAGTTCACCTACAATCAAAGAGCATTCTGAACTCCACCAACAATGGAATTGAACCAAACTTGGCACACAGAACTCCCATAACCAATAGAAAATACTGGAAAGATTTGATGGGCATTGACCTTGAGTTTGGGAGTTGTAGTTCACCTACATCCAGAGAGCACTGTGGACTCAAACAATGGTGGATCTGGACCAATTTGGCATGAATCCTCAATATGCCCAAATGTGAACACTGCTGGAGTTTGGGAAAATAAACTTTGACACTTGGGAGTTGTAGTTGCTGGGATTTATAGTTTACCTATAATCAGAGAGCATTCTGAACCCCACCAACGATGAAATTGGGTAAAACCTCCTACACAGAAACTCCATGAGCAACAGAAAATACTGTGTATTGTCGAAGGCTTTCATGGCTGGAATCACTAGGTTCTTGTAGGTTTTTTCGGGCTATAGGGCCATGTTCTAGAGGCATTTCTCCTGACGTTTCGCCAGATATATAAACCCATTTTCCTATTTCCAACAGACCTCACTACCTCTGAGGATGCTTGCCATAGATGCAGGCGAAACGTCAGGAGAAATGCCTCTAGAACATGGCCATACAGCCCGAAAAAACCTACAAGAACCTAGAAAATACTGTGTTTCCTGATGGTCTTAGGCAACCCCTCTGACACCCCCTCGCGACCCCCCCAGGGGTCCCGAATCCCAGGTTGAGAAACGCTGTTCTAATGGGTACAGATCAGGCATGGATAAACTTTGGCCCTCCAGGTATTTTGAACCCCACCAACGATGAAATTGGACCAAACTTCCCACACAGAACCGCCATGACCAACAGAAAATAGTGTTTTCGATGGTCTTTGTTGACCCCCTCTGACACCCCCCTTGCGACTCCCCCAGGGGTCCTGACCCCAGTCTGAGAAACACTGCAGTAGTGAATTTATCCGCGGAACTCGTGTGAATTAAACTGGCAAAAGAGTGCGCATATGCATGCACAGTGCCAGCACTCATTTGCCACCAAGTCAGTATAAAATGAGCTGCTGAATTTCATCTTTCCGACACTCTCAGCAGCTAAGGTCCCCACATCTTCACCAGAAAGATTTTAATGAGCCTGACTCCCTTGGAAAAATCACATTTAGGTGTCCCCAGGGCTTCTGTTTTTGGGTTTCTCCAGCCGAGGAAAGAGGAGCCCAGGATCAGGCCCAAGCCTCCTCCCTTCAAACGGAGACTTCTCACCATGGTAGCGAGAAAGGAAGTGCAAGTTCCTGAAAGACCTCTCTGTGGAACTGACTCCCAACCTGGACAGGAGTTTATCAGCCATGGTCGGGATCACCGGTTGCAGGAGAACCCCATACACTCGAAGACACTCCAAAACAACATGGATGACGGTGTCGCGCCAGCTTTCCTGCTCAGGATCCTCGCATTGCAGCTTCCAGGGCGCATGTCTCTGGATGAAGCCGTTGGTTTGCCTCACGCAATCCATGATGGATTCTAAGGCCTTGTAGATCTGGTAGCACTCGAACGAGGCGTTGACTTCTGAAGGGAGAGCTTCAACGGATGACACCAGCCTGTAATCCTCCGGCAAAGCTCTGCCAGATCCTCTCCTGGGGAAGCAGGCCTCTGAAAAGCCTGGGTAAGTCCCACTGGGGTTCAGACTGGGGGCTGTGCACCGGTTGAGGAGCCCACCCAAGGCATCCGCCAGCTCCGCATTGACTAGGTTGATGGCTTTCTCATCATAATAGTCACAGTCACGATCAGGGACGCCCTGCCTCAGTAGGAAGTACCTAAAGCCATCCACGGAGTACTGTTTGAAGCAGGCTACTGGGTCCACCACGTTGCCCAGGCTCTTGGACATCTTCTGCCCTTGAACCGTCCAGTGAGAGTGCACTAAGATCTGTGCCGGAGGCTCCAGTCCCACTGCCATGAGAAGAGCAGGCCAATAAATGGCGTGGAACTTGAGGATGTCTTTGCCCACAATGTGGTAGGCGTTGGGCCACAAGGCGTGGTGGGCCTCGGGATAGCCGGCGACGGTGAGGTAGTTCACGAGGGCATCCACCCAGACGTAGATGGTTTGAGTTGCGTCGCCAGGAACAGGGATGCCCCACTGGAGCCGGTTTCGGTCGCGGGACACGGAGAGGTCGGGCAAGTCCTGCTCCAGCCACTGAAGGACCTGCTGGTAGAAGGGCTCTGGGGTGATGGCCGCCTTGCTCTCCCGAAGCCATTTGAGCAATGGCTCTTGGAACTGGGACAGCTTGAACATGTAGTTCTCCTCCTTGGTCCAATGTACCTGAGACACAAGAGATATGCCGATCACAACTTTACTCCTTATCTTTCTCTTCCTTCAGTGTATTGTAGGCATCTGCAATTGTGCTTCCACCATTTACTAGCCAAACTGGGGTCTGACTAACTCACCAAATAGATCAAGTATGGGCAAACCCAGGCCCAGGGACCCAGATGAGGCCCCTTGGGCTCTTTCCTCAGGCCCTCCCCTCTCTCACCATCCTATCCCTCCTTCTCTCTTTCCTTTCTCCTTCGCTTCCACCCTGTCATCTTTCCCTCCCTTTTGTCTTTCCTTCCTTCTTTCTTTCATTCCTCTTTCCCTTCCTCCCTTGCCTCTCTCTTTCTCCTTCCCTTCCACCCTTTTGTCCTTCCTTCCCTTTTTCTTTCCTTCTCTCTTTCCTGTCATATTTTCCCCCCTTTTGCCTTTCCTTCCTTCTTTCTTTCGTTCCTCTTTCCCTCCCTCCCTTGCCTCCCTCTTTCTCTTTCCCTTCCACTCTTTCCTCCTTCCTTCCCTTTTTCTTTCCTTTATCCTTTCCTTCCTTCCATCCTTCTCTTCATCCCCTTTTCTTCTCTTTTCTCTTCCTCCTTCCCTTCCATGCTTTCATCCTTCCTTCCCTTTTGTCTTTCCTTCCTTCCCTATTTCCTCCCTCTCTTCCTTTCTCCTTCCTTCCCTTTTGTCTTTCTTTCCTTCTCTTCATCCCTTCCTTCCTTCTTTTTCCTTCCATCCTTCCCTTCAACCCTTTTGTGCTTTCTTACTTCCTTCTCTTTCCTTCCTCCTTCACTTCCACCCTGTCATCTTTCCCTCTCTTTTGTCTTTCCTTCCTTCTTTCTTTTGTTCCTCCTTCCCTCCCTCCCTTGCCTCCCTCCTTCTCTTCCACTCTTTCATCCTTCCTTCCCTTTTTCTTTCCTTCTCTCTTCCCTTTATACTTTCCTTCCTTCCATCCTTCTCTGTATCCCTTTCTTCTTTTTCTCTTTTCCCTTCCCTTCCATGCTTTCATGCTTCCCTTTTGTCTTTGCTTCCTTCCCTCTTTCCTCCCTCTCTCCTTCCTTCTTTCCCTTTTGTCTTTCCTTCCTTATTTGTTTATATTTATTTATTTACTGTATTTGTATACCACCCCTGTCAACCTTCCAGCGACTCGAGGCGGTTTACAAGGCAAAGTTCAATACCATAGAAACACAAGTACAATATAAAAAAGCATTAACATCCATAAAATCATTCCTTTTCCTTTATCCTTCTCTTCCTTCCTTCTCTTCATCCTTTTCCCTTCCATCCTTTTGTCTTTTCTTATTTCCTTCTCTCTTTCCTTCTTTCCCTTCCTTTCTTCCATCACCGGGGAGCTAATATTAATTATTAGTATTATTATTACATTCCTTATTTTGCTCTATTTATTATTATTATTATTATTATTATTATTATTATTATTATTATTATTATTCTATTTCTTATTCTATTTCTTATTTTGATTATTATTATTACACTTATTACTTTAATCTATTATTATTAATATTACATTTCTTATTTTACTCTATTATAATTATTTTAATTACATTTATTGTTTTACTTTATTATTATTGTAAGGATACGTAAGCACAATTACATTGAAGAAGGTTAGAATAATGGTTTTAATCAGAGTTGGGCAGTCTTATCTTAAATTACAGCATTATGTAAATATTCAAAAATATTTAACCTACGGATGCTTCAATTAATTTTATTGGTATCTATTTTTATTTTTAAATGTACCAGTGGCTGCTGCATTTCCTACCCTCTGCTTATGCTCGAGTCAGTTTATTTTCTCAGTTTTTTGTGGCAAAATTGTGTTCCTCGGCTTATATTCGGGTCGGCTTATACTCAAGTATATACGGGTATTTTATTGTTTAATGCTTGTTGATGTATTGTTTTAATTATGATTTATGCTTAATTGTGGTTTTACTATTGTAAGTGTTTGTATTGGCATCGTATCGGTGCCCAATGTAAGGCATTGAAATTTGCCATTATTTATGTGTAAACTGCTTTGAGTCCCCCCAGGGGTAAGAATGGGATTGTGGTGCAGCTGGCTGAGTGTCAGCTGCATTTAGATCACTCTGACCAAAAGGTCATGAGTTTGAAGCCAGCCCGGGTTGGAGTGGGTTTCCAACCAATTGTGTGTAGCCTGTTGTCGACCTTTGCAACCTGAAAGACAGTTGCATCTGTCAAGTAGGAAAATTAGGTACCACCTTAAAGTGTGGGAAGGCTAAATTAACTAATTTATGAGGCCATAAAGAAGACTCCAGCAGAGCATTCCAGCGGGGAAGCATGCGAGGAATGTGGAAGTGCTTCATCAGTGTCGCAGATGGACAATGAAAGCGACAGCTCCCCTGGCGGCCAGAAAAAGTTAAATAGCCTCTGTGTATGTCTGTATATGTTTGTATGTCAAAAATTGGCATTGGATGTTTGCCATATATGTGTACACTGTAATCCGTCCTGAGTCCCCTGCGGGGTGAGAAGGGCGGAATATAAAAGCTGTAAATAAATTAAAAATATATATATAAATACTGTAAATAAATAAATAATATTTAATTCTGTTTTCACCACACTGTTACTATTTAATTGTTTTTTAACTTTTGTATTGCAGGGTTTTGTATTGTATTGTAGGCTGGTCCATGAGGTCACGAAGAGTCGGAGACGACTGAACGAATGAACAACAACATTGCAGGGTTTAAACGTGTCTAGTGTGGGATTGTTAACTGCCTTGAGTCCCCACAGGGAGAAAGGTGGGGTATATATATAAAGTAAACAATAATAATCATAATCATAATAAGCCTGGACCATTGCAAAGAAGTCTCTGAGGCAAAGCCCCAAAGGCATTTCCCAAAGTGGAGAATCGCAAATAAGGCATTTCCAACAGTTAGAATTTCCCAACCACCATGCCCAGTGGAAGTTGCCCAACTTTTCCAAGCTCCGGAGTTTCCTCAGCATAAAAAACAGTAATTTTCAATAGAGAAAATGGTATGTTTAGGGGCTTGGTACCTGGTGGCTACTCTCCAATGAAACTTTGTGGAGCTGGCCCTGGGAGTCAGGGCGCTCGGTGACCTGGGAGGCAGCCAAAAAGCTTTCCTCAGCGGTGCAGTACCATCCTTCATAGTGAGCCTGGTAGAGCCAGCCCCGTTCTCGCAGAGCGGTCCAGAAGTGCTCCACAGCCCGCCTGTGCCGCGGTTCGGTGGTGCGGATGAAATCCGTGTAGGAGATGCCCGCCTGCGTGAAGAGCGCCCGGAACTGAGCAGAAACCTGGTCGCAGAAGCGTTCAGGGGAAGTGCCTGCTGCTGCAGCCGCCGACTGGATCTTCAGCCCATGTTCATCAGTTCCTGGGAAAAGAAACAAGAGACTGTGATAGACACAATTGGTTCAGAAACAAGGGTTGTGTCGCACCCCAAAACTGAAGCCACCAATGACCAGAACATCACACAGGAGTCCAGAGTAAAGGCAAGCAGTTTATTGTAAACAGCACCCAAAAGTAATAGGTAGTAAAAGCAGGAATAAGGAAAGCAGGTGTAAAATCCAAACAATCATTGTGGCCAATTGAAACATTCACACCTACCTCCAACAGACAAGAGTTGTCGAAGGCTTTCATGGCCGGAATCACTGGGTTGTTGTAGGTTTTTTTTTTGGGCTGTATGGCCATGTTCTAGAGGCATTTTCTCCCGACGTTTCACCTGCATCTTTGGCAAGCATCCTCAGAGGTAGTGCATCCTCAGAACTACCTCTGAGGATGCTTGCCATAGATGCAGGCAAAATGTCAGGAGAAAATGCCTCTAGAACATGGTCATATAGCCCGGAAAACCTACAACAACCCAGACAAGAGTTCTTTGTCTCACCTGGACATTTCAGAGATATACAAACCCCATTATGTCCTGGTCTATGACCGAAATAAATAAATGATTTGAAACCCAATTTTCCTAGTTTCCAACAAACCTCACAATCTCTGAGGATGCCTACCAGAGATGCAGGTGAAATGTCAGGAGAGAATGCTTCTGGAACATGGCCATAAAGCCTGGAAAACTCACAGCAACCCACTATCTCCTGGTCACTTGCAAGGCCCAACAGGATATAGGGTCACAGCCTGTGCTGGACGGGGTCACACTCCCCTTGAAGGCACAGGTTCCCAGTTTGGGAGTTCTCCTGGACTCATCGCTGAGCCTGGAATCCCAGGTTACGGCGGTGGTCAGGGAAGCGTTCGCACAACGAAAACTTGTGCGCCAGCTGCGCCCGTACCTTGGGAAGTCAGACTTGGCCACGGTGGTTCACGCTCTCATTACATCCAGGATAGACTACTGCAACACATTCAACGTGGGGTTGCTTTTGAAGACTGCTCAGAAGCTTCAAATAGTCCAATGAGAGGTAGCCAGGTTAAGAACTGGGGTGGCATACAGGGAGCACACAACTCCCATATTACACCAGCTCCACTGGCTGCCGGTTTGCTACTGGGCACAATTCAAAGTACTGGCTTTGGCCTATAAAGCCCTAAACGACCCCAGCCCAAATTACCTGTCCAAACACATCTCTCCCTATGAACCATCGTGGAGATTAAGATCCTCCGGGGAGGTCCTGCTCTCTGTCCCGCCATTGTCACAGGCACAATTGGTGGGGACAAGAGACAGGGCCTTCTCGGTGATTGCCCCCGCCTATGGAACTCCCTTCCTGGTGAGATCAGATAGGCCCCCTCCCTCCTGTCCTTTAGAAGGATGGTAAAAACTTGGCTGTCAACCAAGCTTTTGGGACAGGGCAATAAGGCAGCGACAGGAAACTTTACCAGGCCAATTTAGATTTGACACAGATGACCAAGCCAGTTTTAAACAGTGTATTTTAATATTTTGATATTTTTTAAAATGTTTATGCATATTCATATGAATTCTTGTCCCGGCATTGAATGCTTGCTGTATATATGCTGTGCTCCACCCTGAGTCCCCTTTGGGGTGAGAAGGGCGGAATATAAATATTTTAAATAAATAAATAATAAATAATGCCCAGGATGAGAGAAAGAACTCTTGTCTGCTCGAGGCAAGTGTGAATGTTGCAATTGGCCATGCTGATTACCACTGAATGGCCTTGCAGTTTCAAAGCCTGGCTGCTTCCTGACTGGGGGGAATCCTTTGAATCTGCAAGGCCATGAAATGCTAATTGAATCTACTGGATCTTCCTGGAGAGGGGAATCTGTCACGAGGCAGCAAAAAAAGCCAATGGGATTTTGGCCTGCATCAATAAGAGCATAGTGTCTAGATCAGGGGTCCTCAAACTAAGGCCCGGTGGCCGGATGCGGCCCTCCAAGGTCATTTACCCGGCCCTCACTCTGGGTCAACCTAAGTCTGAAACGACTTGAAAGCACACAACAACAACGACAACAATCCTATCTCATGAGCCAAAAGCAGGCCCACACTTCCCATTGAGATACTAATAAGTTTATATTTGTTAAAATTGTTCTTCATTTTAATTACTGTATTGTTTTAAAGTGATTTTTGCACTACAAATAAGATATGTGGTATGCATAGGAATTCATTCATGTTTTTTTCAAATTATAATCCGGCCCTCCAACAGCTTGAGGAACTGTGACCTGGCCCTCTGTTTAAAAAGTTTGTGGACCCCTGATCTAGATCTAGGGAAGTAATGCTACCCATGCTCTATTCTGCCCTGGTTAGACCACACCTGGAATATTGTGTCCAATTCTGGGCACCACAATTCAAGAGATATATTGACAAGCTGGAATGTGTCCAGAGGAAGAGGGCGACTCAAATGATCAAGGGTCTGAAGAACAAGCCCTATGAGGAGCGGCTTAAGGAGCTGGGCATATTTAGCCTGAAGAAGAGAAGGCTGAGAGGAGATATGATAGCCATGTATAAATATGTGAGAGGAAGCCACAGGGAGGAGGGAGCAAGCTTGTTTTCTGCTTCCCTGGAGACTAGGACACAAAACAATGGTTTCAAACTTCAAGAGAGGAGATTCCATCTGAACACGAGGAAGAACTTCCTGACTGTGAGAGCCAGGCCCGTAGCCAGGATTTTGTTTCGGGGGGGTTGGGGGGGGGGCTGAATTTTTGGGGGGGGGGGGCTGGAGTCTGAGTGAAAGAGGGTCTAGCCTAGCAAACCTTTTGTATCATTACCCCAATACCCCCATGCATATGGGATATATTGAGTATGGTGATCAGATCATGATATGAATAAACATAACAGTTTAAATAATGCACCAGTAAGGCCTTTTCGCGAACCACCATGAGAATTGGGGGGGGGGGGCTGAAGCCCCTCAAGCCCCCATCTGAACCAAACTTGAGAGCCGTTCAGCAGTGGAACTCTCTGCCCTGAGTGTGGTGGAGGCTCCTTCTTTGGAAGCTTTTAAACAGAGGCTGGATGGCCATCTGTCAGGGGTGATTTGAATGCAATATTCCTGCTTCTTGGCAGAATGGGGTTGGACTGGATGGCCCATGAGGTCTCTTCCAACTGTTTGATTCTATGATTCTATGAATGAATTGCCACATAATACAGATTCAAACTGTATCGTAAGGCAGTGTACATGGGGCCTATATGGCCTTCCTCAACCTCAAACTGCCCTTTAGTCCAGGATCCAATCCCAGATTATCCACTTTAAACTGGAATATATGAGTCCCCACGCCAGATAATCTGGGATAAACACATCCTGGAATTAGTCTCCAGGCCTTGCAACATCCACAATGAATCCAGGATGGTTTCACTTTTGTTTCTACACAGAATGACTAAGTATTATTGTAGTTCAGGTTGGGCCAACTTGGGCCTTCACTCCAGGGGTTTTGGACTCCAACTCCCACCATTCCTAACAGCCTCAGGCCCCTTCCTTTCCCCCCTCAGCCGCTTAAGCGGCTGAGGGGGAAAAGGAAGGGGCCTGAGGCTGTACGCTTAAGCGGCTGAGGGGGAAAAGGAAAGGGCCTGAGGCTGTTAGGAATGGTGGGAGTTGGAGTCCAAAACACTTGGAGGGAGGGTTCAAGTTTGCCTGCCACTTTTGGACTCTTGCTTGCTGAGGTGTTCCTGCCTAAGCCTACTGTAGTTGAAAACAAAGGGTTTCCTGTCATGAGAAGGAGGAGAGGCACTGAGAGCAAGGCCTGAGGGCCTTGGAGTGATGCAGATCTGCTCACCAGTGGTGAAGAGGCCTTCCCCTCCTTCTCCTCCTCCCTGGAGTAAGCGGTGCCTGTGCAAGGCGTCGGCCAGGAGGGCGGAGTAGAGGTGCCCAATGTGCGGGGAGCCGTTCACGTAGAAGATGGGCGTCGAGAGCAGCCTAGGCCCGAAGGACGAGGAGGAGGAGGAAGAGGGCCTCCTCCAACTCCGCCACAGAGAGGACGCCTCACGCACCCTCCGCCGCCACATGCTCTTCCCAACGCACTGAGCTCTGTTTACCACTCTCGGACTTCATTTCCCAGAATGCCTCCTCATTGACCCAAATGGTAGAGGCTTCTGGGAGTTGAGGTTTTGAGGGAGTTGGAGACTCACTGGACGCGCCTGCGCAGAACACGCCTTGCGTTGGAGGAGTGTTTCCCACACCTTGGACTTCATTTCCCAGAATGCCTCCTCATTAACCCAATCGGCAGAGGCTTCTGGGAGTTGGGGTTTTGATGGAGTGGGATAATCACTGGACATCTTGCGTTGCCTTGCATTGGAGGCGAGTTTCCCACACTTTGACTGCATTTCCCAGAATCCTTCCTCATTGACCCAAACGGTAGAGGCTTCTGGGAGTTGAGGTTTTGAGGGGGTGGGAGAATCACTGGACGCGCCTGCGCAGAACATGCCTTGCATTGGAGGAGCGTTTTTCCACACTTTTGGACTTCATTTCCCAGAATGCCTCCTCATTGGCCTAAACGGCAGAGGCTTCTGGGAGTTGGGGTATTGAGGGAGTGGGGTATCTCTGGACGCGCCTGCGCAGAACATGCCTTGCATTGGAGGAGTGAGGTAAAGGAGAGTGAGGTAAAGACAGAGAATTCCTGGACGCGCCTGCGCACAACATGCCTTGCGTTGGAGGAGGGTTTTCCACACTTTGGACTTCATTTCCCAGAATGCCTCCTCATTAGCCCAAACTGTAGAGGCTTCTTGCGAAGAAGCAGGAGAGCCTAGGGATGATTATTGTTGCTACCAATTTGAAAGGAACCAAATTTACCATCAAGTTAGAAGGGAGGTTGTTCAATCGCACCTCTTCCTTTATTAAGATAGTATTTATTATTTATTTATTTATTTCATTTACTTATACCCCGCCCTTCTCACCCCGGGGGGGACTCAGGGCGGCTTACAGTGGGGGCACAATTAGATGCCCAAAACAATTCACAAGCAATACAAATACAAACAATTCAACAATTAATTAAAAACATCAGTACATAATAAAATAATAAAAACAGTCTCATGCTCAGGGTTCAGAGTCCATATATCCATTCCATTCCATTTGTCCTTGTCTATCATCAGATCCTTCAGTTAGCTGTCAGAATGACCAAAGGCTTGATCCCAGATCCAGGTCTTCAGTTTTTTCCTAAATGCCAAAAGGGAAGATGACGATCTAATCTCCCCGGGGAGTGAGTTCCACAGGTGGGGGGCCACCACTGAGAAGGCCCTGCTCCTCGTCCCCGCCAGCCTCACTTGTGCACTGGCGGGGTCGAGAGCAGGGCCTCCCCAGAAGATCTTAAACTTCGAGGTGGGATGTAGAGGGAGATCCGTTCGGACAAATACACTGGGCCGGAACCGTATAGGGCAGTGGTTCTCAACCTGTGGGTCCCCAGATGTTTTGGCCTTCAACTCCCAGAAATCCTAACAGCTGGAAAACTGGCTGGGATTTCTGGGAGTTGTAGGCCAAAACACCTGGGGACCCCAGGTTGAGAACCACTGGTATAGGGTTTTGTAGGTCAAAACCAGCACTTTGAATTGTGCTCGGAATTGGATCGGCAGCCAGTGGAGCTGACGCAACAGGGGGGTTGTATGCTCCCTGTATGTTCGCTCCGGTGAGCAATCTGGCTGCTTCTCGCTGGACTAGTTGTAGTTTCCGAGCAGTCTTCAAAGGCAACCCCACGTAGAGTGCGTTGCAGTAATCCAGCCGGGATGTGACAAGAGCGTGGACCACCGTGGCCAGATCTGACTTCCCAAGGTACAGGCGCAGCTGGCGCACAAGTTTTAATTGTGCGAAAGCTCTCCCGGCCACCGCTGAGACCTGGGGTTCCAGGCTCAGCGATGAGTCCAGGATCACTCCCAAGCTGCGAACCTTAGTAACTTAGTAGTAATTACACTATATGTATTGTAGCGTGACTGGAGATAAGAATATAGATCTATTTGGTCACTTTCCCCTGCGTTTCTGCCACCACGTGAGGTAAGTTATAATATTGTGAGAAATGGCACACTGGACGCAGAATTGATGGAGATGAGGCAGTCTTCAAACAAAAGTTAACAAGTTTATTGAGCACAAAGCGTGTGGTTGCAAGTTGTAACTTTTCTTATAGAACTCAGAATAATGCTTGGTTAGTTGAATGTTACACTCTTTCAGGTTATACAGTATCTTCCTGAGGTGAAGCACTTATTACAAAACAAAGTTCCAATACAGGGATGTCTCCCTTATCTGATCCTCCCCTGATCAGATACTTAATAAGCTTATTCTTTAGCCTTTCTTTAGACTAACGGAATACTGGTTATGTTTCCCTTATCAGCCTCTCTAGCCTAAGAAACTTCCAGTAACTTAATCTGGCTTTCCAAAGTAAATCTAAAACCTAACTCCTCTAAACCTAAACCCTGACTCAACATTAACTGTCGTTTTTCAAACTCTCCCCTCTAAGCTCCTCCCACTTCTCTCTCTAGCCTACATCGTCTCCATGGCAACGCACTCCTCTCAGTTAGGCCGCTCCAGCATTAGTGCAGCCAATCTAACCACAAATACAGTTAAAATCATACAATTTATAATCAACTTCTGTACACTTCTGGGAGTTGAGGTTTTGAAGGGGGTGGGAGAATCACTGGATGCGCCTGCGCAGAACATGCCTTGCATTGAAGGAGCGTTCTCCACACTTTTGGACTTCATTTCCCAGAATGCCTCCTCATTGGCCCAAACAGAGGCTTCTGGGAGTTGGGGTTTTGATGGAGTGGGATAATCACTGGACATCTTGCGTTGCCTTGCATTGGAGGCGAGTTTCCCACACTTTGACTGCATTTCCCAGAATCCTTCCTCATTGACCCAAACGGCAGAGGCTTCTGGGAGTTGAGGTTTTGAGGGCTGGGGAGAGAGGCAAAGACAGAGTTCCTGGACGCGCCTGCGCACAACATGCTTTGCATTGGGGGAGTGTTTCCCACACTTTGGACTTCATCTCCCAGAATCCTTCCTCATTGACCCAAACGGTAGAGGCTTCTGGGAGTTGAGGTTTTGAAGGCAGGGGAGAGAGGCAAATACAGAGCATTCCTGGACGTGCCTGCGCACAACATGCCTTGCATTGGAGGCGTATTTCCCATACTCGGACTTCATTTCCCAGAATGCCTCCTCATAGGCGCAAAGGGTAGAGGCTTTTGGGAGTTGAGGTTTTGAGGACTGGGGAAAGAGGCAAAGACAGAGCATTCCTGGACGCGCCTGCGCACAACATTGCCTTGAATTGGATGAGTTTCCCACACTTGGACTTCATTTCCCAGAATCCTTCCTCATTGACCCAAACGGTAGAGGCTTCTGGGAGTTGAGGTTTTGAAGGCAGGGGAGAGAGGCAAATACAGAGCATTCCTGGACGTGCCTGCGCACAACATGCCTTGCATTGGAGGCGTATTTCCCATACTCGGACTTCATTTCCCAGAATGCCTCCTCATAGGCGCAAAGGGTAGAGGCTTTTGGGAGTTGAGGTTTTGAGGACTGGGGAAAGAGGCAAAGACAGAGCATTCCTGGACGCGCCTGCGCACAACATTGCCTTGAATTGGATGAGTTTCCCACACTTGGACTTCATTTCCCAGAATCCTTCCTCATTGTCCCAAACGGTAGAGGCTTCTGGGAGTTGAGGTTTTGAGGGCTGGGGAGAGAGGCAAAGAGAGAATTCCTGGACGCGCCTTTGCCTCTCTCCCCAGAGGCCTTGAGATCATCCGGGGAGGCCCTTCTCTCGATCCCGCCCGCCTCACAGGCACGTCTGGCAGGGACGAGAGAGAGGGCCTTCTCAGTGGTGGCCCCCCGGCTGTGGAACACCCTCCCTGTTGACATCAGACAGGCGCCCTCCCTTATGGCTTTTCGTAAGAGCCTAAAAACCTGGCTATTCGACAAGGCATTTAATTGAGACCCACACGAATTTGGTTGTGATATTTGGAACGGACTATGGATTATGAGACTGGCTATGACTCTATGTTGTGATGGCGCGGATCTATTAGTGTAAGTTAGATTAATGTGTAATTCGATTGTTGTTATATTGTATGTTTTGTAGATGGTTTTTACATGTTGTACACCGCCGCGAGTCGCCCCAGGGCTGAGAGCGGCGGTCAACAAATGAAGTAAATAAATAAATAGGAAATGAAGTCCGAATATGGGAAACACAGTCCTCCAGTTCAGGGCACGTGGCGGCTCGTCTAGCCAGTGAATTCTTACTAAAACTTCATGTCCCAGAAGCCTCTATTGCGAGCGGCAATGAGAAAGGATTCTGGGAAATGAAGTCCAAAATGTGCGCAGGCGCGTCCAGGAATTCTCTCTCTGGTCTCTCTCCAGCCCTCAAAACCTCAATTCCCAGAAACCTCTACCGTTTGGGTCAATGAGGAAGGATTCTGGGAAATGCAGTCAAAGTGTGGGAAACACTCCTCCAAAGCAAGGCATGTTGTGAGCAGGCGCGTCCAGGAATGCTCTGCCTTTGCCTCTCCCCCAGCCCTCAAAACCTCAACTCCCAGAAGCCTCTGCCGTTTGGGTCAATGAGGAAGGATTCTGGGAAATGAACTCAAAGTGTGGGAAACCTCCAATGCAAGGCATGTTCCTGGACGCGCCTGCGCACAACATGCCTTGAATGGGAGGCGTGTTTCCCATACTCGGACTTCATTTCCCAGAATACCTGCTCTTAGGCGCAAAGGGTAGAGGATTCTGGGGGTTGAAGTTTTCGAAGGAAATCACTGGCTATAGGCATGCGCAGTCGAGCGGGGGCTAGAGCCGCGCGTGCGCAGAAGGCTGCTGGAAGGGCAGGGACCGGGAGCAGCCGGCGTGGAGGACGTTCTGTCGGGTCGGGGCCTCGGAGCGTGGCCGCCATCATGTTCCGGTGCCGCGTGGGCATCCGGCTGCTGAGGGGGCTGGGCCCAAAGTCTCGGAGCCGGGCTGGAGGAGGAGGAGGTGAGTGGGAGGGCCGCTCCAGAAGGAGGCCTCAGCCTTCCTGTCAGAGAAATGGGTTCCGTGGCTCTAGAGTTGGATTGCGGCCTACAAGACAACCACAGCAGCAGCAGCAGCATTCTCCCCGAATTACCTATATGACTGCGTTTGGAATATCTTGTTTTGAGTTTTCCTTATCCAGAAATCCCCCAAATGGGCCACTTGTGTGGCTGAGACAATGTCACCCTTTGCTCCCAGGTGATGAAGAGACACACATTTTGATTTCATGGACGTCTTGCATGTCGTTATCCTCAAGCCATGTGTACCAGTTGATAAAACATTAATAATAATTATTATATTATAATATGTATATAATAATAATGTGATCTATATAAATAAAAATGTAATGTTCGTTTGTGGGATTAACACAACTCAAAAACCACTGGACAGATTGACACGAAATTTGGACACAAGACACCTAACAGTCCAACGAGTGTACATCACCCACAAACACACACACACACACAACCCCAGCGGAACAGACTTAAAACCCCCACAAATACACCATAGATACATACACACATACACTCATATACATATGCACACATTCATACACACGCACACACATATATATATATGCACAAATACACACATACATATATAAATATATACATGCACACACATATACATATAGAATCATAGAATCAAAGAGTTGGAAGAGACCTCATGGGCCATCCAGTCCAACCCCATTCTGCCAAGACGAAGGAATGTTGCATTCAAATCACCCCTGACAGATGGCCATCCAGCCTCTGCTCAAAAGCTTCCAAAAAAGGAGCCTCCACCACACTCCGGGGCAGAGAGTTCCACTGCTGAACGGCTCTCACAGCCAGGAAGTTCTTCCTAATGTTCAGATGGAATCTCCTCTCTTGTAGTTTGAAGCCATTGTTCCGCGTCCTAGTCTCCCTGTATATATCCACATATATACACAAATATGCATCTACACAAGCACACACAATATGCATGTACACATATAAACACACATACACAAATACACACACACATATATACACATAAATATATACACAATATGCAGGTACACATATAAACATAAATATACACAAATATATGCACAAATATATACACACATATACACAATATGCATGTACACATATCAACACACAAATATACACACACACATATATACATAAATATATACACAATATGCATGTACACATATAAACACAAATATACAAATATATGCACAAATATATACACACATATACACAATATGTATGTACACATATAAACACACACACATATATACACACACATATGTACACCCACACATATACATATATATATATATATATATAAACAAACACACATATATACACAAATACATACACACATATAAATACACATATATATACACACACAAAACACATATACACAGACTGGGCCACAGCAACGTGTGGCAGGGGACGGCTAGTCTATGTAAATAAAAATGTAATGTTTGTTTGTTGGATTAACATAACTCAAAAACCACTGGGCGAATTGACACCAAATTTGGAGACAATATACCTATCAGGCCAATGAATGACCATCGCTCATTAAAACATTGAAAAACACTGCGGAAGGGACCCAAAAAGGCAAAAAATAAAAATACATTACAACGCATGCATGAAACCACATGTATAGAAGCAAACACACATACACATACACTCACTCACACATTTATATAAATAAAAATGTAATGTTCGTTTGTGGGATTAGCATAACTCAAAAACCACTGGGCAAATTTACACCAAATTTGGACACAAGACACCTCTCAGGCCAACGAGTGACCATCACTCATAAAAACACTGAAAAACACTGAAGGGACTTAAAAAGCCAAAAAAAGCAAAGAGGCACTACAGCCCATGCGCAAAACGACCCTCCCCCCCGTAAACAAAACACCCAATAGCATATCCACATTCTCTTCCGAACTACAGCTCCCAGCATCCCCTAAGCCAGGCCCTTTAGGTCTGTTTTTTTGGTGTGTTTTTTTTTGGTTGCAGCAGCATTTATGCTTGTCCTGGAACAAGCCTTGCTGAAGTTGGTGCTGAACAGCAAGGCACAGAAGTGTGCTGCAAGGCTTGTGTTCTTAAGCTGACCATGCTGGCTGGGGATGAGGGGACAAGCATAAGGCAACACATTAGGGAAGGCTATGCTGAAGGACAGAAGTTCATAAAATCTTAAACAACTTTGTCTACACTGACACTGTAATCCAGTTTGGAACCAGTTTGGCAGGAACTGCCTTATAGTATGTTGAAAATATAGGCCCCATCTATGCTGCCAAATGACGCAGTTTGGAACTGCATTATATGAGCAGTGTAGACTCAGTTTCACTGCATTCTATGAGTCTACACTGACCATATAATGCAGTTCCAAACTGCATTATTTGGCAGTGTAGATAAGGCATAGTTATTTAAGGAAATCCTTCCTGTTTGCTAAACACCAATATGTATTCCATGGACTCCATTAATAATATATATGTTGTTTCTCGTGAAATTGTATTGTGTGTTTTTTATTGATCTGCACTGTTTTTTAAGTGTTTAGATATAAATAGTCTATATTTGGAGCCCCTGTTGGTGCAGCAGGTTAAACCGCTGAGCTGCTGAACTTGCTGACTGAAAGGTCAGTGGTTCAAATCTGGGGAGCGGGGTGAGCTCCCACTGTAAGCCCCAGCTTCTGCCAACTTGCCAGACTTCATGCCGGCCACATGACCATGGAGGCGCCTATGAACAACGCCGGCTCCTTGGCTTAGAAATGGAAATTAGCCCCCCCCCCCCCCCAAAGTCGGACATGATTAGACTTAATGTCAAGGGGAAATATTTTATCTTTTCATATATATTTGGGTGTAAACAAGCCATAAATATTCCCAAAGAAATAAAAACTTAGTAAACTATGGATTCTGTTCTTACTAATTAGAGTGAAATCAAATAATTTATTTGATTTGATTTTTAATTATGTGCATACCTAAAATTGTCATTTCTCAAGGTGGAAAAGTACAAGCTTTTTCAGCCTAATAAGTAGAACTAATGTTTTTCGTTCTACTTATGAACCGCATAAGTCTGATGTTTGTGTTACTCATCTGTGCTTTTCTCCTAAACCCTCAATTCACATCCATATGCAAGTATTCTTGAAATATTTAGAAACTTATGTTAAAACCTGGCATTGATTGCAACCGTGGTTCGCAAGTCAGTGCTAAAATGTTCATGTCAGATTAAGTCACAGGGAGAAGAGAGCAGAGCATAACTGGATGGAAAAATACAAAAATGCAGTCTGTAAGGAATATGGAACGAACTTAGCAAATGCTAAAGCAAATGACAGAAATGCCATCATGTCTAAAGCCATCCAAGTGGAAGTATTAGGATCTTATTTCCTTTTGTAGGACTTGTTTCATTCAACATTTTCTTCCCTGCCTAATGTAATATAATATATTGTATATACATATAATATTTATAATACTATAATATAATATTTGGATCTGATTCTATTCGAGGCGTGATGACGTTTTGTGTATTGTTTGTGGTTGTTTGTCATATATATTGTTCAATGTTGCACATTTTACTGTAAACCGCTTAGAGTCGCCGCGGCTGATATTTGCGGTATACAAAAGGAGTAAATAAATAAATAAATAATAATACTATAATTTAATACAATATAAAACTTATAATAATAATAATAATATGATATTATAATTACATATTTATATTACACTAGCTGTTCCCTGCCATGCGTTGCTGTGGCCCAGCCTGTGTATATGTGTTTTGTGTGTGTGTGTATATCTGTGTATATATGTGTGTTTGCATATATATATGTGTGTGTATATATGTGTGTATATATTTGTGTGTTTATATGTGTACATTCATATTGTGTATATGTGTGTGTATATGTGTGTATATATTTTTGTATATATGTGTGTGTATATGTATGTGTGTATATATTTGTGTATTTGTGTGTTTATTTGTGTACATGCATATTGTGTATATGTGTGTGCTTGTCCCCTGCCACGTGTTGCTGTGGCCCAGTCTGTGTATATGTGTTTTGTGTGTGTATATGTGTGTATATGTGTATTTCTGTATATGTGTACATGCATATTGTGTATATGTATGTGTGTATATGTGTGTGTGTTTATATCTGCACATGCATATTGTGTATATGTGTGTATATATTTGTGTATATATATATATGTGTGTGTATATATTTGTGTATTTGTGTGTGCTTGTCTAGATGCATATTTGTGTGTATATATGTATGTATGTGGATATGTATATTTGTGTGCATCTGTATATGTATGTGTATGTATGTGTGTGTATGTGTATGTTTGTGTGTGTTTGTGCATATATATACGTGTGTGTGTATGAATGTGTGCATGTGCATATGTATATGAGTGTATGTATATATGGTGCATTTTTGGGGGGTTTTAAGTCTGTTCCACTGGGGTTTTGTGTGTGTGTGTTTATGGGTGATGGACACTCGTTGGACTGTTAGGTGTGTTGTGTCCAAATTTCATGTCAATTCGTCAACTGGTTTTTGAGTTATGTTAATCCCACAAACGAACATTACATTTTTATTTATATAGATTTAATATTACTAATAATATTACAATATAATGATATAGTACAATATCGTAATATTTAATACTGATATTGTACTATGCTAATAATATAATATATTGGATGTATTTATATATCTTGTAAGCCATTCTGGTTGAGAAAGGCGTCATATAAATATCATAAATAAATGTTCTTAGTAGGTTTGCAGAAATCTGCTTCAAGATTCAACTGTACTACCACGGATTTAAAACAAATGTAACACAGTGGTTTGTTAAAGGGTTTTGCGGGTGATTCTCCCTCTCACCAATTGTGTTTCCAGGCCTCTTGTGTCAGCGATGGAAAGTTCCCTTAGAAGTCCAGCTGAGCCGGCACATGGCTTCTTATGGTGCTCCAGGGGGGAAGAGCGAAAACGTTGTCTTTGCTCTTCTTGTGGGATTCACCACTTTAGGAGCAGGGGCCTATGTAAGTAGAAAGGCCGGGTGGCCAGTACGAGAACGGCACAACTCCTGCTTCCTGGTGGCGGCTCTTTTCTTGGAGTTTACTTTTTTCGTATCTCTGTTTTTCTCACTTCTCTGCAAAAAGTCTCACAGGGATCTTAACACTGTCAAGAAACAATGCTGTCCTTCTGCTCTGCATCAGTTTCTCTCCACAATGTCATTGGAGGGACACTCACTAGAAGGACGCTGGTGTAGAATTAATGCAGTTTGATACCACTTTACCTACCATAAAAGATGGCCTTTCCCCCTCTATATTAAAAAAAAAATTCTGATGGAACAGTAGGATGCTGTGTCTTGATTGGAGATTGTGACATTTTGGGCTATAGCTTCCAGAATCCCCAAACCAGCATGGCCAAGCTCTCACCTAAAGTAAACAACAACAACAACAACAAATCTTTATTGATTAATAATTATTGTTATTATTATTATTATTATTATTATTATTATTATTAATAATAATAATAATAAACCTTTATTTGCATCCCGCTACCATCTCCCGAAGGACTCGGTGCGGCTTACAAGAGGCCGAGCCCAAATACAATAGTAAAAACAATAGCAGCAACAAACAGCAAAATAACTCAAAAAACAAAGCAATAACATTGACAACACACAATGACACAATTAAAATCAATGGCAGTATAGATTAAATAATTAAATAATCTATACTACATTCATTATTTAATACATTATTATTGAATAATAATCTAATGTTTATTATTCAATAATAATGAATAATTATTAAATAATAATATTATGTATTTTATTTATTTATTTGATACAGTTCCGTTCCGCCCTTCTCCCCCTGAAGCGGGATTCAGGGCAGACTCACACAAGCCCTGCACGATGCTATCACCAAATAAACAGTCAACAAATACTTTAAACATTAAAACAATTCATTAAAACAAGAGATTAACACACCAATTAAAACCAAATCCAAATCTGGGTTAATTCAATGTCACGGATAATAGAAAATAATTTTAATAATTATTAAATCTTTAATAATTAATAATATTTAATAATAATATTATTAAAATTATTAATTTATAATAATTATAAATTATCCTTAATAATTTGAAGATCGGACTGCAAAGACTCCGGCAAAAGCCAGTCAAGGCGGTCCCAGTTGTGATCAGCACACTGGACGCAGTGCCTAATGACATGGGCCTGCACTTAAAAACAATCGGCGCTAACAAAATCACCATCTGTCAGCTGCAAAAGGCCACCCTGCTCGGATCTGCATGCATTATTCGCCGATACATCACACAGTCCTAGACACTTGGGAACTGTCCGACGTGTGATCAAATACAAAAGCCAGCATAGTGATCTTGTTTGCTATGGACTCATCTTGTTATGTATCTAACAGCAACAACAACAATATGGCAAAGAGTTTGGCACAAACCAGTAAAGGTGGCCCCAGTGGTGATCGGCACACTGGGCGCAGTGCCTAATGACCTTGGCCTGCACTTAAAAACAATCGGCACTGACAAAATCACCATCTGTCTGCTGTAAAAGGCCATTCTACTTGGATCTGCATGCATTATTCGCCAATACATCACACAGTCCTAGATACTTGTTGTTGTTGTTCATTCGTTCAGTCATCTCCGACTCTTTGTGACCTCATGGACCAGCCTACGCCAGAGCTCCCTGTCGGCCGTTACCACCCCCAGCTCCCTCAAGGTCAGTCCAGTCACTTCAAGGATGCCATCCATCCATACTTAGGAAGTATCTAACGTGTGACCAAATACAAAAACTGGTGTGGTGATCTTGTTTGCTGTGTACCAATCTTGTTGTGTAACAAATAATGTTGTTGTTGTACGGCACTTCCATGACTTCATTGCACAGGAGGGAGGCAAGTGCCTTCTTCTCTCCCCGTGGAGAAAACTAAATCCTCAGTGAATCAGGATGAAAAGAGGCCGCTGTTGATGCTATAAATGAACGTATTTTAATTTCAGTCACACTTTCTATCCATCCTGGTTACTGAAACAGCAGGAAACTCTTGCTTGGTCCACGATGTATCTAATCCAGTGTCCTTATTAAATACTCAGAGTGTTTGCTTTGTTTTTCTCTTTCTCTCTTTGCTCCTCTTTCCTTCCTCGCCTGTTCCCTCCTGTAGTTTTGCAGTGCCTGCGTCTCCGATCCCCTTCTCGGTGGCTCATGTCTTCAGGGGCTCCCGGCAAGGACAGCGGCAGCAACCTAGTGTACTTCTTAATAGTGGGAGGAACAGTCGTTGGGGCAGGCGGTTATGTAAGACGCTTCCTGTTGCATTTGGGAGTGGGGCTGGGGTGGGAGGTACATGCTTGGGTGGGTTTAGCCTTCTGGGGCGTCCTGAGTCAGTGAAATGCCTCCTGACTCATTCAGTATATAAAATTATCCCTCCTTGGAAGTGAATTTTTAAAAGATATTGTCTCCAAATGGGTAGCTCTTTTTGCATTCAAAACAGTGAAAAGACATAGGCACCCCAAAGACTGCCATGTGATTCATGTGTTGTCGAAGGCTTTCATGGCCAGAATCACCGGGTTGCTGTGAGTTTTCCGGGCTGTATGGCCATGTTCCAGAAGCATTCTCTCCTGACATTTCGGCCACATCTATGGCAGACAACCTCAGAGGTTGAGGGGTCTGTTGGAAACTAGGCAGGTGAGGTTCCACAGATATATAAATTGCACTTATATAATAATAATAATAATAATAATAATAATAATAATAATAGATCACAAGCCAGAAACTAGACAGGTGATGTTCTACAGATATATAAACGCCACTTATATAATAATAATAATAATAATAATAATAACAACAACAATAATAATCATCATCATCGACTTGTGATTTTGTGATACAAAATCCAGTGTATAGATCTCGTTTGCTGTGACATACTGTGCTTTTGTGTCAATAATAATAATAATAATAATATAATAATAATAATAATAATAATAATAATAATAATAATAATAATAGAATAATAGATCACAAGCCAGAAACTAGGCAGGTGAGGTTCCACAGATATATAAACCCCACTTATATAATAATAATAATAATAATAATAATAATAATAATAATAATAATAATGATGGACTTGTGATTTTGTGATACAAAATCCAGCATATAGATCTCGTTTGCTGTGACATACTGTGCTTTTGTGTCAACAACAACAACAACAACAACAACTAATAATAATATGAGATCACAAGCCAGAATCTAGGCAGGTGAGGTTCCACAGATATATAAACCCCACTTTAATAATAATAATAACAACAACAACAACAACAACAACAATAATCGACTTGTGATTTTGTGATACGAAATCCAGCATATATATAATCCAGCAGGTGAGGTTCCACAGATATATAAACCCCACTTACATAATAATAATAATAATAATAATAATAATAATAATAATAATGATGGATCCCAAACTGGAAAAAGATGTGGGCGAAACGTCAGGAGAGAATGCTTCTGGAACATGACCAGACAGCCTGGAAAACTCACAGCAGCCCTGGCATGTGATTATTTTGATGTCAAACCTTTATTCAGAAGGCTACTGTTAGGTCAAAATATGGAAAAATAGAATGTTTTCCATTTGGTAAAATCCTGAAATGTCAAGATATGCCACTGAATACCCATGCCATTGTATTTCTCTTATGTATAGTTGTGAAAACAGGACAGTGAAGAATACTAAATAGGAAGAAAAGCCATTCTAAATATAGGAGAGCCAATTCATATATCCTTGGATGTGTAGACATTCACACTCTTCCTTTCGCAATCTGCATTTCAACATAGTTAGGTTTGTTCTTTGTCCATCTCTTCCTCTTTGCTTTCTTCATTCCTTTCTATATGTTCTTGCTATTCAATTCTTCATTTTTGCACAAAACCGAATTATTCCATTTTCCCACTTTCAAATTCTTCTTTGAGTGCTGACATGGATTTGTGTATGTGTTGAGTGGGTGGGTGGATGAGCCTACAGAAGCATTATGAATAATCCCTTTTGCTAAGAAATAAACACCTCCCCAGTTAGCAGCGGCTTTGGGAGCATATGGGAGAAGACTGTCTAACTAGACCCCTGTGGGGTCAGCATGCAGGCCGCAAAGACACACTCACTTTCCCCAAGGAAAGCAAATCCCTAATATTTTGTTGAAGGCTTTCATGGTCAGAATCACCAGGTTGCTGTGAGTTTTCTGAGCTGTATGACCATGTTCCAGAAGCATTCTCTCCTGATGTTTTGCCCACATCTATGGCAGGCATCCTCAGAGGTGGTGAGGTCTGTTGGAAACTAGTCAAGTGGGGTTTATGTATCTGTGGAATGTCTAGGGTGGGAGAAAGGACTCTTGTCTGTTGGACACAAGTATGAGTGCTGCAATTGATAACCTTGAATAGTATTTATTTATTTTGAACATTTTTACCCCGCCCTTCTCAACCCCTAGGGCAGTGGTTCTCAAACTGGGGTCCCCAGATGTTTTTGGCTTTCAGCTCCCAGAAATCCTAACAGCTGGTAAACCAGCTGGGATTTTTGAGAGTTGTAGGCCAAACCTGTGGGGACCCACAGGTTGAGAGCCACTGCCCTAGGGGGACTCAGGGCGGATTACAGTTGGCAACAATTCAATGCCGTCATAAAATACAATAGTAAAAATAACAATTAAAAGCATGAACATTAAAATAAAAATGAAACAGTATACTTACGATCCATTTAGCTATTGCCTGTCTGGTGGCTATTTATCTAGCCATATACTAATGATAGCTCCGCTTCATTTATCCAAATCCACTTCCAAGCCATAGTCAAATATTATCCATTGTCCTTTAACTTGATTGCCCGAAGGTCTGGTCCCACAACCACAATTTTACCTTCTTTCTGAAAGTGAGGAGGGATGTTGTTGTTGTTCATTCGTTCAGTCGTCTCCGACTCTTCGTGACCTCGCGGACCAGCCCACGCCAGAGCTCCCTGTCTGCCATCACCACCCCCAGCTCCTTCAAGGTCAGTCCAGTCATTTCAAGGATGCCATCCATCCATCTTGCCCTTGGTCGGCCCCTCTTCCTTTTACCCTCCACCTTCCCCAGCATCATTGTCTTCTCTAAGCTTTCCTGTCTTCTCATGATGTGGTCAAAGTACTTCAACTTTGTCTCTAGTCTCCTTCCCTCCAATGAGCAGTCGGGCTTTATTTCCTGGAGGATGGACTGGTTGGATCTTCTCGCAGTCCAAGGCACTCTCAGAACTTTCCTCCAACACCACAGCTCAATGACGATGATCTAATTTTCCCAGGAATCGTATTCCACAGGCGGGGGGCTACCACCGAGAAAGCCCTGTCCCTCGTCCCCGCCAAACGTGTTTGAGACAATGGCGGGACCGATAGCAGGACCTCCCCAGAGGATCTTAAGCTCTGAGGTGGGACGTAGAAGGAGATACGTTCGGACAGGTACGCTGGTATTGAATAGCTTTGTAGCTTCAAAGCCTGGCTGTTTCCGACCTTGGGGAATCCTTTGTTGGGCGATGATTACTTGGCCCTGATTGTTTCTTGTCTGGAATTCCCCTGTTTTCAGAGTGTTCTTTATTTACTGTTCTGATTTTAGGATTTTTAAAAAATACTGTTTGCTAGATTTTGTGCATTTTCATGGTTTCCTCTTTTCTGTGGATATTGTTCACATGCTTGTGGATTTCAATGGCTTCTCTGTGTAGTTTGACATGGTGGTTGTGAGAGTGGTCCAGCATTCCTGTGTTCTCAGATAATATTATGTGTCCAGATTGGTTCATCAGGTGCTCTGCTATGGCTGACTTCTCAGGTTGAATTAGTCTGCAGTGCCTTTCATGGTCCTTGATTTGTGTCTAAGCAATGCTGGATTTGGTGGTCCCTATGTAGACTTATCCACAGCTGCATGGTATACGGTCAAGTGAGAGGATCCCTCTTGTCCTTTGCTGAACGTAGCATTGGTTGGATTTTCTTAGTGGGTCTGTAGATTGTTGTGTTTCTCCATCAACTTCCCAATGCGGTCAGTGGTTCCCTTGATGTATGGTAAGAACATTTTTCCTCTGGATGGGTCTCAGTCTTTGCTGCCGTGGCTTGTTCTAGGCCTTTCAGCTCTTCTCATGTCTGTGGTGGAGTCTCCATTGGCTTGTCGAGCCCAGATTAGGTGGTTCAGTTCACCTTGGAGGAGGTGGGCTTCGCAGATTATTTTTACGTCATCTGCCAGGGCTTTAATTGTGCTTTTTTTTTTTTTTTTTACTTGGGTGATGGTTGGAGTTTTTATGTCGGATTCCCTCAGGCAGGAAGCAGCCAAGCTTTGAAGGTGCAAAATCAGGATAGTAAATAAAGAGCAACACTCAAAAAGCAGGGGAATTCCAGACAAGAATCAATCAGGGCTAGCTAACACCTCCTAATAAAGGATTCCTCCAAGCAGCAAGCAGCCAGGCTTTGAAGTTGCATGGCCATTCAATGCTAATCAAGGTGGCCACTGGCAGCATTCACACCTGCCCAACAGACAAGAGTTCTTTCTCCCACCTTGGACATCATTCCACAGATATATAAATCCTACTTGCCTAGTTTTGAACAGACCTCACAACCTCTGAGGGTGCCTGCCATAGATGTGGGGGGAAATCAGGAGAAAATGCTTCTGGAATATGGCCATACAGCCCCGAAAGCTCTCAGCAACCCAGAAATCCCTAATATCTTGGCCCCCAAACCGGATAGTTGCCAGTTCCAGTTCCTTGGCATCTGTTAATGTGAACTTTGTGTGCCCCCTTGTAGCTTATCCTCGCACCCCTGCCATGCACACCCTTCTTGCTTAGTGGGCAGATTCCGCTTTATTCCCTTGAAATGAACCCTCTTTTCTGAGCAGGCAGGTGGAGAGAAGCCCATGGCTTTGCAGAATCCCTCACCAGCTTTATCTTCCCTGTTTGGGCATTGTAGGTCTACAAAACCCTGAAGGAAGACAAGGAGAGGTACAATGAGCGCATTGCAAGCCTGGGCCAGCGCCCCTCCCAGGATGCAGAGCCCTCACCAGGTAGGTGCTTGGCCACCTTGCAGTCTGGGGAACAAAGGTGAGGAAAGTTGCCAGCTTCTACTACTTGTTGGAGGGGTCACCAAAGACCATCAGATGGTCAAGGAGTTTCTGTGTGGGAAGTTTGGCCCAATTCTATTGTTGGTGGGGTTCAGAAGGCTCTTTGATTGTAGGTGAACTATAAATCCCTGCAACTCCCAAATGTCAAGGTCTATTTCCCCCAAACTCCACCACTGTTCACATTTGGGCATATTGAGTATCTATTGAGTATCCATCATTTTTTGAGTCCATAGTGCTCTGGATGTAGGTGAACTACAACTCCAAAATAATGCCCACCAAACCCTTCCAGTATTTACTGTCGGTCATGGGAGTTCTGTGTGCCAAGTTTGGTTCCATTCCATCATTGATGGAGTTCAGAATGCTCTTTGATTGTAGGTGAACTATAAATCCCAGCAACTACAACTCCCAAATGACAAAATCAATCCTCCCCAACCCCATTAGTATTCAAATTCGGGGATATTGGAGTCTGTGCCAAGTTTGGTCCAGTGAATGAAAAATACATCCTGCATATCAGATATTTACTTCCTTTGTGATCATGCAATAGACAGAGATTTGTTGATTTTTTTCTTTTTGGTGTGTGCTCATGATTCCATCGCCTGTCAGTTTGGGAATGTTTTCTGTGTTGACTTTTCTGTGTTTCCTAAATATTATGTATGTAGTCAGTCACATATGGAAAACGTCCCTTTTTCTTACGTAATGGGTAAAGTGACCTCTAAATTATCATTTGATGTTTGATGAAAAGTTGTCACGGCCCTGCTGTCAGGCATAAGGCTGTATTTTAATTTTGAGACATAGGTGCGTATCAGGTATTTGTGCCAAATTTGGTCCAGTGAATGAAAATACATTCTCTGGATGTAGATGAACTACAACTTCAAAAGTCAATGCCCACCAAACCCTTCCAGTATTTTCTGCTGGCCAGGGGAGTTCTGTGTGCCAAGTTTGGTTCCATTCCATCGTTGATGGAGTTTAGAATGCTCTTAATTGTAAGTGAACTATAAATCCCAACAAGTACGACTCCCAAATGACAAAACCAATCCCCCCCAACCCCACCAGTATTCTAATGTGGGCGTATTGAGTATTTGTGCCAAATTTGGTCAAGTGAATGAAAATACATCCTGCATATCAGATATTTACATTACGATTCATAACAATAGTTAAATTACATTTATTAAGTAGCAACGAAAATAATTTTATCGTTGGGGATCACCACCACATGAGGGACTGTATTAAGGGGTTGCGGCATTAGGAAGGTTGAGAAACGCTGCCTTAAAATGAGATTAGATGGCCATCTGTCAGGGATGCTTCCTGGTTGGTTCCTTCCCTGGCAAGGGGTTGAACTAGATAAGCTTTGGGCTTTCTCCCAACTCTGTGAAGCCATGGCTGCCTTTATTAGCCACTGCAAATGGCACCACATCAGTAGGTTGCAGTCGTGATGCAAAATGTGTCCTCTTACCTGCACTGGGCACCTTTCCAAATTACCTCTGCTTTCTTTCCAGAGCCAGCTTCTGCCTCACAGAGCACAGCAGGTAAGGGAGGGCTTCAAGACGCAAAGAATCTGTTCCGATAAGAGTGGTTGGGTTTGTAGTCGTTCGACAAGGCATGCTGGTAACGGTCCATCTGTCAGAGCAGAAAAAGCCTCGGATAAAAATGAATCTGTTGGTAATAAGGAGAGAATGCAGTGAGCTTCGGGATTCACTGGACAGCCTTGTTGGGTTGAATCCCCAGAATGGTTTGGGCCCTGCCAAGAATAGAGGAAGCACTGGGACTGTGGCGTAGCTGCCTGGGAGTCAGCTGCATTAAGATCACTACTGACCGAAAGGTCATGAGTTCGAAGCCAGCCCCAGTCGGAGTGAGCTTCTGACCAATTTGTGTAGCTTGCTGTCAACCTTTGCAGCCCGAAAGACAGTTGCATCTGTCAAGTAGGACATTTAGGTACCGCTTATGCAGGGAGGCTAATTTAACTACCATATATATACTCGAGTATAAACCGACCTGAATATAAACCGAGGCACTTAATTTTACCACCAAAAAATGGGAAAACTTATTGACTCGAGTATAAGTCGAGGGTGAGAAATACAGCAGCTACCGGTAATACAAAATAAATATAGATACCAGTAAAATTACATTAATTGAAGAAACAACAGGTTAAATGTTTTTCAATGTTTACATAAAATTGTAATTTAAAATAAGATTGACCAACTTTGATTAAACCATTACTCTAACCTTTTTCAGTGTCAATGTGCTTACGTATCCTTCCAATAATAAGAAAGTAAAATAATAGGTGTAGTAACAACAACAATAAAGTAAAATAATAAATGTAATAATAATAAAAATAAATACAGTAAAATAAATCTAATAAAATAATAATAGAGTGAAATAATGTAAATGTAATAATTCCAATAATAGAGTAAAATAATAAATGCAATAACAATAATAATAAAGTAAAATAATAAATGTAATAATAATAAAAATAGAGTAAAATAAATGTAATAAAATAATAATAGAGTAAAATAATAAATGTAATAATAATAATAATAAATAGAGTAAAATAAATGTAATAAAATAATAATAGAGTAAAATAATGCAAATGTAATAATGCCAATAATAGAGTAATAGAATAAATGTAAAATAAAATAATAGTAATAACAGAGTAAAATAATAAATAACTTTGACTCGAGTATAAGCCGAGGGCAGCTTTTTCAGCCTAAAAAAGGGGCTGAAAAACTAGGCTTATGTATTATGTATGTATTATTACATTTATTATGTTACTCTTTTTATTATTATTGGAAGGATATGTAAGCACATTTACATTGAAGAAGGTTAGAATAATGGTTTAATCCGAGTTGGAGAGGCGTATCTTAAATTACAGTTTTATGTAAATATTCAAGCACATTTAATATAATAATAATAAATAAGACTTTATTTATATACCGATCTATCTCCCTGAGGGGACTCAAAGCGGTTCCCAGGTAACATCATGAAACATCCAAAGTAAAAACAACATAACAATAAGATTAACAAACAAAATATAAGCATAAACACTGTCGCCATAACACACATATATTAAAAGTAATCCTGCCTGTTCAAGGCAATTAAAAATTTAAAAGGCCGGGCCAACATTTAACCTACAGATGCCTCAATTAATCTAATTTTATGGGTATTTTATGGGTATCCTCGGTTTATACTCGAGTCAATACGTCTTCTCAGTTTTTTGTGGTAAAATTAGGTACCTTGGCTTATATTCGGGTCGAATTATACTCGAGTATATATGGTATATTTAAATATATACTATATATATGTTGAATACAGTGCAATGAAGCTGAATCTTGTCCACCAGTAATTATAATCGCCATCGTTGCTCCATCCAAAGTATTCAAATCACTGCTTTTGTGTTTCTGTTGTGTAGCTCTTCCTGCGCCCCTTTTTTGTGTTTGTGCCTGTGCCTTGACTCTCCCTTTTGCTTGCAGCCCCAGCGGCAGAGGCAGCCCCTCTCCCAGAATTTCCATCCCATGTCCCTTTCCTCTTAATCGGCGGAGGCACGGCCGCTTTTGCTGCTGCCAGATCCATCCGGGCACGGGATCCCGCGGCCAGGGTAAGTCCCATAAGCGACATCCCATCGGCCGCCAATTTTGTGTTGGCCTTCGAGACGTGAAAGCTGTATTTCCGTCGTCCTTCATTCCAGGTCTTGATTGTGTCAGAAGATCCTGAACTTCCTTACATGCGGCCTCCACTTTCCAAAGAGCTGTGGTTTTCAGATGACCCGGATGTCACAGAAACACTGCGGTTCAAGCAATGGAACGGCAAAGAGAGGAGGTCAGTTACCAAATCCTCTAGGCCCAGACAATGTGAGAATTCCTGGGAGGTTGTGTTGATTCCAAATGTGGCTGAAGAAGGCAGCAGGACCCTAAAGGCACCAGATCATATCTGGTTGTGGAAGCTGAAGGTCAACCCTAGATATTTATTTTTTTTCATGTCAGGAGCAACTTGAGAAACTGCAAGTCGCTTCTGGTGTGAGAGAATTGGCCGTCTGCAAGGACGTTGCCTAGGGGACAATGCCCAGATGTTTTGATGTTTTACCATCCTTGTGGGAGGCTTCTCTCCTGTCCCTGCATGGGGAGCTGGAGCTGACAGAGGGAGCTCATTCATGCTCTCCCCGGATTCGAACCTGCAACCTGTCGGTCTTCAGTCCTGCCAGCACAAGGGGTGTCACGTTACCAGGGCTCTACCTTGTTTAGGTAGAGATGAATCAAAACTCCCAGTTTTATCAAACAGTTTAATTAAACAGCACTTACTTGCTGGCTGTTTTAATAGACCAAAATATAAAACACAAAGATATCACACAGCTACAGAATAAACAAAAACTGATAGCAAAAATAATTTCGTAGTCAAAAGGGTCCAGTCCAATGGTCAAATGCCGAGAGTTCAATAACAGAGTCCAGGGATCAAGAGTCTATAACGTAGTCAAACGCCAGTCCAAAGGTTCGAGGTTCCGGGATTACAGGAAACAGGTCAGGATACCGAAAAATCCAACAGATCTGCAGGAAAAACCAGCAGCATCCACCACCAAAATACAACAGATACTTTTCTCCCAAAAATCAGTTTCAAAGTTAGCTCCTTAAATCCAGTAACACCCAGCTGCAACCCATCTCCAGCACACCTCCGCCCTTAATTGCTTTTACCTGTAAACTGTTACTTACAAACTACTCAGCCCTTTAGAACCAAGACTTACATTAACCCTTCCATCACCAACTTCCAGGTCTACCACTACCAACCACCATCAACTGTGGAACATATGACAGGGGACTCCTAGATGGGAGACTGCAAGTGAATCCCAGGTGTTGTAGACCAGGGGTCCTCAAACTTTTTCAACAGAGGGCCAAGTCACCGTCCCTCAAACTGTTAGAGGGCCAGATTATAGTTTGAAAAAAACCTGAATGAATTCCTATGCACACTGCACATATGTTATCTGTAGTGCAAAAAACAATACAATAATTAAAATGAATAATTTTAACTAATATAAACTTATTAGTATTTCAATCGGAAGTGTGGGCCTGCTTTTGGCTGAGGAGATAGGATTGTTGTTGTTGTGTGCTTTCAAGTCGTTTCAGACTTAGGTTGACCCTAAGTGAGGGCCAGGTAAACGACCTTGGAGGGTTGCATCCAGCCCTCGGGCCTTAGTTTGAGGACCCCTGTTGTAGAGTCTTATTTCAAAGGAAGGCACTGAGTGCTATATTCTTTGCATAACAAAACACTGTGAAATTCATAGAACCACAAATATAAAAAAGTCAATAAGTGACCTGAAGACACACAGAGATACTTTGCACTGTTTTGTTTAGTATGACTTCAAGTCAATTCTCACTGATGGTGACTTTATCAAAGAGTTTTCTTAGCAAGGTGTATTTAGAAAAGCACCTGTCATTGCCTCCTTCTTGGGCTGAGAGAGTGTAGCTGCCTAAGGTGACAGAGTGGGTTACTGGGGCTGACAGGAAGGGTCCTTTCCCTACTGTTTTGGGTCTTTCCTTCCAGCACGTGAAGACATTCGTCTATGGGGGTTGTGGGCCTTCGCAATTCCCTTCAGGGACTTAACACTGGACCATCTCCTTTTCTGTGCTTTCCTGTATCTATCTGTCCCTTGCAGCATATATTTCCAGCCGCCATCTTTCTACGTATCGCCTCGTGACCTGCCTCATATAGAAAACGGTGGAGTCGCTGTCCTCAGTGGAAGGAAGGTTAGTGCATTGTTGATTGTCATTGTTGTAGAAATGGGTTGCTGTGAGTTTTTCAGGCTGTCTGGCCATGTTCCAGAAGCATTCTCTCCTGATGTTTCGCCCACATCTATGGCAGGCATCATCAGAGGTTGTGAGGTCTCTTGGAAACTAGCAAGTGGGGTTTATATATCTGTGGAATAATGTCCAGGGTGGCCAACTCAACAAAGGAGTCCCCCAAGCAGGAAACAGCCAGGCTTTGAAGCTGCAAGGCCAATCAGTACTAATTAAGGTGGCCAATTGCAACATTCACTTAATTTTCTGTTGTTTTGTATCTTATTTTGCTGTGTTACTTTTTGGGCTTGGCCTCATGTTAGCCACCTCGCGTCCCCTTTGGGGAGATGGTGGCGGGGTATAAATATTTATTTATTTATTTATTTAAAACATTCAATGCTGGGACACAAATTCATATACAGGTACATAAACATTAAAAACATTTATCTCAATATTAAAATACGCCATTTAAAACAATCCTAGTAATCAGTGTCAAATCTAATTGGCCTGGTAATATTTCCTACAATAATAATAATAATAATAATAATAATAATAATAATAATCGTCATCATCATCATCATCATCATCTTTATTTATACCCCGCCACAATCTCCCCAATGGGGCCAGGCCCGAACAACAATTACAATAAAGAAAACCAAAACACAACCGCAAACGCAAACAATAAACATCATAATTACATAAAACATATGAATACATAACATTATAAGAATTACAATAGACACAGGCACAGAGACAATGGGTGGGCTGCACGTAATGATTCAAAAACAAACTAATTAAAACTAATTAAAACCTATTGCTGCTTTATAAATAAAGATTATTATTATTATTATTATTATTATTATTATTATTATTATTATTATTATTACTCACACTTGCCTCAAGCAGACAAGAGTTCTTTCTCCCACCTTGGACATTCTACAGATACATAAACATCACTTGCCTAGTTTCCAAAAAACCTCTCAACCCCTGGGGATTCCTGCCATAGATGTGGGCGAAACGTCAGGAGAGAATGCTTCTGGAACATGGCCAGACAGCCCCAAAAACTCACAGCAACCCAGGGATTCCCTGTCCTGAAAGACTTCGACACCATATGTTGCAGATATATTGTGGGGTGACGGGGTTGGGGGGTAAATATCAGAAAGCAATAGGGTGAATTTTACCAATGTTTCAAAGCTGTGGGCATCTTTGGGCCAGACCAAAAGAGACACAAACATGTGCTTGACTTGCAGGTGGTCCACATGGATGTCAGGGGCAACGTAGTAACGCTGGACAATGGCACACAGATCTCCTACGACAAGTGCCTACTTGCTACTGGTGAGTACGGGCAGTGGTTCTCTCGGCTTTGGGTCCTCCTAATGCTTTAGATCCTGTCTATCAGCCCGGTGGACCAATGGCCCTCTTTACTGGAGCGGGACACATTTAGATAAGCACAAACCACTGTCCTGAGGGATGGCCAAGATGCCAGAGATCTCTCACCTTCTCTCCATGATCTAATTCTCTCTTCTCCACCCTCAGGGGGTTCCCCAAGGAGTCTCCCAGTGATTGAGAGGGCAGGCAAAGAGGTGCAGGAAAAGCTCACGCTCTTTCGGAAGGTAGGACTGAAGGGGCGGGCAGCCAACATCCATGGTATCGTCAGAAATATTAAAAATTAACTCTTCATGTGCATGTAAGCCTGCAAGCAGGGACCGGGTGAAGAAAGAAGTACTGAATTGACTGTAAGCTGCTGTAAACCTTTTGGGATGTAGCAAAATAATTCCTCTGTCCTGTCTTCTTGTAGATTGAAGACTTCCGTTCACTGGAGAAAATTTCCAGAGAAGTCCAATCGATCACCATTATTGGTGGTGGCTTCCTGGGCAGCGAGTTAGCCTGTGCTCTGGGACGGAAAGGTGAGCGGGAAAGAGTTCATTTTTGATTACAAAAGTGTAAGTCAAGCACTGAAAGAGTTAGTAGGCCGAAGCCTGTTAGAGTCAGTGTGCCAAAGCTAGTGTCATCCTGAGGATTATGAGGTAAACTTCTGTGTGAGTGAAGCCTCATGTGAGAAGGCTTCGGTGTGAAGGCTGCTGTGTACAAAGCTACTGTGTGTTTGTGTATTTGTGTTATGAAAACCTTGATTACAAAAGTGTGAGTCAAGCACTGAAAGAGTTAGTAGGCCGAAGCCTGTTAGAGTCAGTGTGCCAAAGCTAGTGTCATCCTTGGGATTATGAGGTAAACCTCTGTGTGAGAGAAGCCTCATGTAAGAAGGCTTCAGTGTAGAGGCTACTGTGTGTAAAGCTACTGTGTGTTTGTTTATTTGTGTTATGGAAACCTTGATTACAAAAGTGTGAGTCAAGCACTGAGTTAGTAGGCCAAAGCCTGTTAGAATCAGTGTGCCAAAGCTAGTGTCATCCTGAGTAATGTCAGATTAACCTCTGTGTGAGAGAAGCCTCATGTGAGAAGGCTTCAGCGTGGAGGCTGCTGTGTGTAAAGCTACTGTGTGCTTGTTTGTGTTATGGAAACCTTGATTACAAAGGTGTGAGTCAAGTACTGAAAGAATTAGTAGGCCAAAGACTGTTAGTCAGTGGGCCACAGCTAGTGTCGTCCTGAGGAGTGTGAGATAGACCTCTGTGTGAGAGAAGCCTTGTGTAAGAAAGCTCCAGTGTAAAGCTACTGTGTGTTTATTTGTGTTATGAAAACCTTGATTACAAAAGTGTGAGTCAAGCACTGAAAGAATAAGTAGGTGGTGGAGGCTCCTTTGGAGCCTTTTAAACAGAGGCTGGATGGCCATCTGTCAGGGGTGATTTGAATGCAATATTCCTGCTTCTTGGCAGGGGGTTGGACTGGATGGCCCATGAGGTCTCTTCCAACTCTTTGATTCTATGATTCTGACTGTGGGCCAAAGCTGGTGTCATCTTGAGGAGTGTGAGGTAAATCTTTGTGTGAGAAAGCTTCAGTGTGAAGGCTGCTGTGTGTAAAGCTACTGGGTGTTTGTTTATTTGTGTTATGAAACCTTGTTGTAAATAGTGCAACCATATTATTTTACTACAAAGAAAAGCCTCCTATGAAAAGCCAGGAAACAACAAGGATTAAGTTTTGGTTTATAGTGGGCAATAAGGTGGCATGGGTTGCTTGGTCCCAGGCTATACATCGTTCAAACTTTGCATTGTGCTCAGGAGTGAAGTGATGCGGCATCTAAGCTTTCTGCTTCCCTTTGCAGCACAGTCGAGGGGTTTAGAGGTGATCCAGATGTTTCCAGAGAACGGCAACATGGGCAAAGTTCTTCCAGAGTACTTGAGTAACTGGACTACCAACAAAGTCAGGCAAGGTAAAATGCCTCTTCGCTCGCCCTTCCCCTTTATCTTGGCAAAAATGTGCTTAGTCAAAAAACAAATAACAAGAGAATAGGAAATTATTCTCTCAAAAGATCTGGAACTATTATTTTTGCATATATGGACTCAAAGACAAGTGTTAGTCTAAGTGATGTATCTTTAAAGGCCTGATGCCATTACACTGGGAGTCATGGGTGGTGTGAGTTGTAGCCCCATGTGCCTGAAACACGTTCTTCAGGACCTATAGGTCCTGTTTGTGGGGAGGCTGTGGTTTCAATAGCCTCTGAGTGCCATTTGTTTCTTTTTAGAGGGAGTGAATGTGATGCCCAACGCAGTTGTGAAGTCTGTGTCTGTTGCTGGGAACCGGTTGCTCATTAAACTGAAGGATGGAAGAAAAGTGAGTACCACAAAGCATGGTTCTGTCCAAATCCTTCAATTGTTTGTGTTTTGGAAGTTAGGAGGGGTATAAATTAGAGAAATAAGCTCCCTCCATTCCTAACATATTGCCCATGCTGGCTATGGCTGATGGGATTGGTAGTCCAGAATGTATGGAGCGAGCCAGACGACATAGGACTAATTGGGAAATAAATCTCTGTATTTTCCCTCTTAAACATACCTCTATTTCATTGTCTGTCCTCTGTATCAAATTTCAGTTGAGTTTGCCCTTTTTCTGCCACTCAGGTAGAAACGGATCACATCGTAGCCGCCGTGGGCCTGGAGCCCAACGTGGAATTGGCGAAATCGGCCGGTCTGGAGGTGGACTCGGATTTTGGGGGCTTCAGAGTGAATGCGGAGCTGCAGGCTCGCTCCAATATCTGGGTGGTAAGTCAAAATGGAGTTAAAATTCCCTTGCTTTGGCTTCAGGTGCTAGCAGCAAGGCATTGACCTTGATAAAAGTGAAACGACATTCAACACATTCCTTCAGATGTGTACTACTTGAAGGATGCAATCTGGCAATACACAATTGTCAGAAATATTGAAAATTAACTGGGTATTTTTGATTACAAAAGTGCGAGTCAAGCACTGAAAGAGTTAGTAGGCCGAAGCATGTTGGAGTTGGTGGGCCAAAGCTAGAGTCCTGCGGAGAGTGAGTAGACCGAAGCCTGTTAAGAGTTACTGGGCCAAAACTAGTGTTCTGAGGAGTGTGAGGTAAACCTATGTGTGAGAGAAACCTTGTGTGAGGAAGCTCCAATGTGAAGGCAGCTGCATGTAAAGCTATTATGTATTTGGCTCTTTTTTTTTTGTTTTTGGTTATGGAAACCTAGTTCTTGTAAATAGTGCAACCAGTGTTCTGAGGAGTGTGAGGTAAACCTCTGTGTGAGAGAAACTTGTGTAAAAAAGCTCCAGTGTGAAGGCCGCTGCGTGTAAAGCTACTATGTATTTGGTTCTCTCTTTTTTGGTTATGGAAACCTAGTTCTTGTAAATAGTGCAACCATATTATTTTACTACAAAGAAAAGCTTCCTATGGAAGAGGTAATATTGATCTGTGTGTTTTTGTTCTTTTCATCACTTTGGGCTACTGGTGCTGAGTCACATTGCTGATAAGTTACTCTACTATGCATTTATGAGGGTCTTTTGTTAACACGTCCACTCGCCCAACAAAGGTTATGAGCCCAGCATGCTTCCGTTGAGGTCCCATTCGAAAAAAATTAAGTGGCGATTGTATGTTATACGCCTTGTCCTCATTACGACCCTATTGTTCCCTTCTCTCCTACCTCTAAGGTGCTGATAATTTCAGCTAACTGAAGAAACAAACCACAAATGGGATATATTTGTTGGGCGGGATTCTCAATAATTCCTGCCTGGGACCAGTCTCTTCTCTTTCGTTCTGTATCTCCCAAAAATGCTGAGTCCTGCATCACCTTCTTCAGATTGGGAATGCCCAAACAGCAGCTAGTCTGGGAGTGTGGGGAAGCCAAAATAGTTACGTTATTATTACGTCATTCCTTCCTGTCCCAATTCTCCCTCATTTGCCGTTGTCCTTGTCCAGGCAGGAGACGCCGCTTGCTTCTATGACATCAAGTTGGGCAGGCGGCGCGTGGAGCACCACGATCACGCCGTTGTGAGCGGAAGGCTGGCAGGAGAAAACATGACGGGGGCGGCCAAACCCTACTGGCACCAGTCCATGTTCTGGTACTGTGCTTTCTCTTTCTATTTTGTGCAGTTGGGAGCCCCCATCCCTTCTCTTTTCATGGTTTTCGTGTTGGAAGACAGGACAACATCCTTAAATAAATTCAGACTATTTCCTGACCTCATTACATCAGGGATTAGAGTCACGTAACCCAGCCAGTGCTGGGTTTTTGTTTCCGTCTGGTTGGGAAGGAAAGACTTGCTCCTTGTGTTATCTTCCAGGGGCAGCTCTTCTCCTTTAAAACAAAGGACAGCCTCCCTTGGGCCTTGTTTTGCACAGAAATCTTTCCCGGAAGCCCTCTTTAATCCATCATGGTCTTCCCTTTTGCCTTTGGCAGAGCAGTGAACCTATAAGGTTTTGTCTTGGTGGTCCCATGCAAAAAACGGAAGCCAGAAGCCCACTTATGGTTTTGTAACCTCCCCTTTCGCCATAGCTCTGTGATCCTGGAAAGAGTCCATCTGTTAGCATAGGGCACCAGCAGGATTAGTTCTCCAGACTCTTAGGTGAAGAAGTCTTTCTATCCTCCTCAATACAGGGGAAGGAAACCCCTGGCTGCTGTCAAACTTCCCACACAGAACCCCCATGACCAACAGAAAATACTGAGTTCTCTGATGGGTTTTAGCGACCCCTCTGACAGCCCCTCATAACCCCCCCCCCCCCCGGTTGAAAAATGCTGAACTAGGAAGACATTTTGAGTATTAAAGACATTTCTCTGTTGCATTGTTCTTCTGCAGAAGAACAATGCAACAGAGAAATGTCTTAATACTCAAACAGCAAATGGCTTAGGCCTTGAAAATTAACCCCTGCAACTACATATTTTGTCCTTTTTTAGGAGTGATTTGGGCCCAGATGTTGGGTATGAAGCAATTGGCCTTGTGGACAGCGGCTTGCCCACTGTGGGGGTGTTTGCTAAAGCCACAGCGAGGGACACCCCAAAATCTGCCACAGAAGAGTCAGGTAAGGTTGCTCCTCCGCTGTACTGTGCTTGGGAGGCTGGGTGCCATTGCTGGAGGCATTTCCCAGCTTCGAGCTTCCCCGACACTTGCTTGATCTGGAGGCAGGCCTAAAAGTTCCTATCTGCAGTGCTAGAGGATTGTGTTTCAGGGTAGGGAGGAGGAACCTTTGTTTCATACTTAACCTTGCAGAAGCCCAACTTATGTAGGACTGACTGTGAGAGTCATCATTCAGACTGTGAGAGAAAGTTCTTCTTAGTGTGTGGGAAGTTCCCCAACTCTTTTCTCTCTCGGTATCTAGGAACTGGAATCCGCTCAGAGAGTGAAACTGAAACGGAAGCATCGGAGATCAAAGTCTCGGCTGCCTCACCATCCAGCTTGCAAGCGCCCCAGCAAGGGGAGGACTATGGGAAAGGCGTCATTTTCTACCTCAGGGACAAAGTGGTGGTGGGCATTGTGCTGTGGAACATCTTCAACCGGATGCCAATCGCTCGAAAGGTCAGTGTTTTGCTTGGACTAGGTGTTGTTTTCCCTTTAGGGAGTTATTTTGTCTGCTGCTGAGCAGTGGCTGCTGCTTTGAAGCTGAAGTCCTTTACTTTCTCTTGCAGATCATCAAGGATGGGGAAGAGCACACTGACCTCAATGAAGTTGCCAAGCTCTTCAACATCCATGAGGACTGAGCACCTTGCCCAGGGTTGGGGGGCATTTGGAAACTGGATCTGTGGCACAGCAAGGACCCTCGTGCAGACCATGCGAGCGCCTTCCGTTCTGTGGCCCATGAGTGTGAATGTTCGTGAATGCTTGAAGTAGCCCTGAATTTGCACCGTGAATTAAACCAGATTAACTTCTGAATTGCAATCCAATTGCAGTCCAGTTAGTGCTTGCCACCTCTCTGCCCTTGGCTAGGGCTCCCAAGTCTATTAAGAGGGGTCCTGCACAATTGTTCCCTTCTTGTGGCACCTTCTTGTGATTTGTATGTGTTTAAAACAACAAAGCACTGGCTTTGTATGTGGCTGAAAGGGGTTAACAGAAAAGAGTATATGGCTTCTCCTCGAAGATTATGATGCTTTGCTACCTTAACCTGCAGGAAATATAGAAATGCAGGAAAACAGGCCACATGAAAACTCAGATAGCGTCCCCTGCAGCTGTTTGGGCCTGCACCTTCCATATTCCCCAGCCACGGGCTGTGGTGCATAGATGTGATAGGCACTCTAGTTCAAACCATCTGTAAGGCCCAACAGAAATCTTTAAATCTGCCTTAAAATTGGAGCAGTACTGAAGGAAATGACTTTCCCACCTTTCATTTTTGCCAAATAAATCTCACACACCATTATTTGCATTTCTAGTTTGGGAGGGATGCACAGCAACACAAGAGGATGGCTTGGTTAGTTATGGGCCCAGGCTCTGCCTTCTGGCCTCTTCCATCCCTTGTGGCCTCTGAACCACATACATTTCCTTGTTCCCTGGATCTCCCTGGATTCGAACCTGCAACCTGTCTTGCCGGCACAACGGTTGAACCTATTGCGCCACTGGGGGCTCCTAGATGGGAGATTGCGAATGAATCCCAGGTGTTGTAGACCAGGGGTCCTCAAACTTTTTAAACATAGGGCCGGGTCACAGTCCCTCAAACTGTTGGAGGGCTGGATTAGATTTTTTTTTTTTTAAAAAAACATGAATTCCTATGCACGCTGCACGTATCTTATTGGTAGTGCAAAAACACTTAAAAACAATACAATAATTAAAATGAAGAACAATTTTAACAAATATAAACTTATTAGTATTTCAATGGGAAGTGTGGGCCTGCATTTGGCTGATGAGATAGGATTGTTGTTGTTGTGCTTTCAAGTTGTTTCAGAGTTAGGTTGACCCTGAGTGAGGGCCGGGTAAATGACCCCCTTTCTCCTTCCTTCCCTTTTGTCTTTCCTTCCTTCTCTCTTTCCTCCCTCCCTCTATTCCCTTCCACCTTTCCCTCCCTCCCTCCTTGGGAATGTTTAGCTGGGACATGAGAACCATGTTTCAAGATTTCAAAGGGTGTCCCATTGAGGAGAAGGAGGGAGGGGAAAATTCACTTTCTGCTGTTCTTGAGACCAGGGCGCAAGAGAGCAATGGGTTCAAATGGCAGGGAAAGAGATGCAACTGGAAAGATTAGGAAGATCTTCCTGAGAGTAAGAGCTATGGAGAGTGGCATAGACTGCTTTGAGTTTGGTGGAATCTCCTTCTCTGGAGACTTTTCCACAGAGGCTGTCTATTGGGAGTGCTTTGATTGTGCCTTCTTGCATAGCTGCAGGGGGTTGGGCTGGATGGCCCTTGGGGGTCTCTTCCAGCTCTAGGATTCTACACCAGGAGTAGGCAATACAGGGTCTCATGGATACACTTTTTCCTCTACCATCCACCATCTCATCTTGACCAAGACCAACCCTTTTGGGATCCAAACATTTCCCATCTTTCCTTCGCTTTCTGCCTCTGAAAGAGAAGAGGAAAGGGCATGGAAAGGGGCTTGGGGAGAACCAAAACAAATGGATGCATATCCTGGCCATTGACCGTAAATAAACGTGTGAAGCATGGCCATAGAAGAGGCTGGTTTAGTAAGTATGGGCCTCTACCTTCTGGCCTCTTCCATTCCTTGTGGCTTGTGAACCACATACGTTCTCTTGTTCCCTTCTTCCCCAGCAAAGCCATTAATGTGATGGTGCTTCTCACTCCCTTAGACCAGGGGTCCTCAAACTTTTTAAACAGAGGGCCAGGTTACAGTCCCTCAAAGTGTTGGAGGGCCGGATTATAATTTGAAAAAAAAAAATGAATTAATTCCAATGCACGCTGCACGTATCTTATTTGTAGTGCAAAAAGCACTTTAAAACAATATAATTAAAATGAAGAACAATTTTAACAAATACAAACTTATTAGTATTTCAATGGGAAGTGTGGGCCTGCATTTGGCTAAGGAGATAGGATTGTTGTTGTTGTGTACTTTCAAGACATTTCAGACTTAGGTTGACCCTGAGCGAGGGCCAAGTAAATGACCTTGGAGGGCTGTTATCTGGCCCCCCGGCCTTGGCTTGAGGACCCTTGCCTTAGGGCTGATGAGACAGGATTGTTGTTGTTGTGTGCTTCCAAGCTGTTTCAGACTTAGGTTGACCCTGAGCAAGGGCCAAGTAAATGATCTTGGTGGGCTGTATCCGGCCCCCGGGCCTTAGTTTGAGGACCCTTGCCTTAGGGCTGATGAGATAGGATTATAGGTGTTGTTGTTGTGTGTGCTTTCAAGTTGTTTCAGACTTAGGTTGACCCTGAGTGAGGGCCGGATAAATGACCTTGGAGGACTGTATCCAGCCCCCAGGCCTTAGTTTGAGGACCCTTGCCTTAGGGCTGATGAGATACAGGGTTGTTGTTGTTGTGTGCTTCCAAGTTGTTTCAGACTTAGGTTGACCCTGAGCAAGGGCCAAGTAAATGACCATGGAGGACCGTATCCAGCCCCCGGGCCTTAGTTTGAGGACCCTTGCCTTAGGGCTGATGAGATAGGATTATAGGTGTTGTTGTTGTGTGTGCTTTCAAATCATTTCAGACTTAGGTTGACCCTGAGCAAGGGCCAAGTAAATGACCTTGGAGGACCGTATCCAGCCCCCGGGCCTTAGTTTGAGGACCCTTGCCTTAGGGCTGATGAGATAGGATTATAGGTGTTGTTGTTGTGTGTGCTTTCAAATCATTTCAGACTTAGGTTGACCCTGAGCAAGGGCCAAGTAAATGACCTTGGAGGACCGTATCCAGCCCCCGGGCCTTAGTTTCAATGAAAAGTGTGGGCCTGCTTTTGGCTGATGAGGTAGGATTGTTGTTGTTGTTGTTGTTGTTGTTGTGTGCTTTCAAGTCATTTCAGACTTAGGTTGACCCTGAGCAAGGGCTGGGTAAATGACCTTGGAGGACCGTATCCAGCCCCCGGGCCTTAGTTTGAAGACCCCTGCTCTAGGATAGGATTATAGGTGTTGTTGTTGTGTGTGCTTTCAAATCATTTCAGACTTAGGTTGACCCTGAGCAAGGGCCAAGTAAATGACCTTGGAGGACCGTATCCAGCCCCCGGGCCTTAGTTTGAGGACCCTTGCCTTAGGGCTGATGAGATATAGGGTTGTTGTTGTGTGCTTCCAAGTTGTTTCAGACTTAGGTTGACCCTGAGTGAGGGCTGGGTAAATGACCTTGGAGGGCCGTATTCAGCCCCCGGGCCTTAGTTTGAGGACCCCTGCCTTAGACTATCAACACACAAGACACAAGACTCAAAGGATGAGACGGGAGACAGGGGTCCTGATGCAGGTTTTTCTGTACATAAGTGTTTTTGACACCAAAGCGTTGCTGAAGAATAAAACAAATCAAATGAATGGGGAAGAAAGAAAGGGGGGAAAAAAGAAACAGCAGCCGGAACACACTCACCAAAGGCGCCAAAGCCTTGGTGCAAAAGAGAAAAAGGAGGGAAACGGTCGTTTTTCCAAAGTGGGAGGCCAGCAGGGTCAGCCTGCGGAGAAAATGGCGGAGGGGACAAGGGAGAGGAGGAGGTGCAAAAGAAATGCAGCTCCAAAGTGGGAACACAACACAAAATAAAATTAAAAAATCAACACCCAAAGACCCCACCTGGTGCAGGGAAGAGCCAGGAAACAGATTGTCCAGTCCTTGTTAGCACCTGTACATTAAAACTGTACCATCTATACTACCCTCGCCCTCCTGCCGGGCGCCTTTCTCTGCCGCACTCGCCCCGCTTGGGCCACTGCCTTGCCACCTGAATTGATAGAGCAAAGGGGGCCTCGGGAAAGAAAAACCAGGGATGGGGAGGTGGCAAAGGGGCCAGGAAGAACAGCCGGGAATACCGGATGCCTTTGGCTGTGTACTGATCCAGCCTCCGCCCCGCTCTCCTGCACTCCAGAGGCAAAACAACGTGAGAGAGAGGCTTGAGCAGAGGGCGAGGGGGGTGGAAGTGCCCTTGGAAGCCCTCGAAGGAAGAAGATGAAGCCTCGGCTCCCTTTCACGACGCCTTGGGGACGAGAAGGAAGCGGCCGACTCGCTCCTTATAGCAAATTCCAGGCCATCGAAATGCCTCCCGCCCGCCTCCTCCTGCCCCACAAATCACAGTGATACAGACTTTGCAGGAACAAAAAAAATAATAAAAAGGAACACCACAAATTAAATACTAATTAAATAAATACTCTGGAAGAGCCTGGGGCCGGAGCGGGGAAGAAAGGGAGGGGGAGATGCAGTTCCATCACAGAGAGGCTTTCAAACCACCAAGGGCCAAACAATTCAGAGGCCGGGGCCAGGGAGGGGGCTGCTGCGTATCCCGCTGACCCCAAACTCTGCTCCAGCCAGGCGGGAGGCAAGCGCCTGCCGACGGTCGTCACCAAGACCCCCCTGCCGCCATTGCCGCCACCTCTGGCACAAAGGCCACCTTCTCCTCGGTCCATGGCATTGCCTCGCGGTGCATAGTGACGACGGCAGAGGCAGAGGGGTCGTTCTGTGGGGCTTTCCTCGTCAGCTGCTCCAGGCCTCGAACGCCACTTCGGAGCCCAGCAGCCGAACCAGTTCCGGCTCGTAGCGCACCAGCTCCACCGTCTCTGCGGCGCCGGGCGGCACCATGTGCTCCTGGATTTCTTCCGGGGCCAGCACCTGGCTCAAGGACAGCTGGCGCTGGAACTCCGCCTTGGGGAGGGTGGCCACTTCAAAGTGCGGGAAGCGGGCCTGGAAGATGCGGGAGGAGAGCTTCAGCCGCTTCAGCACGTCCGAGAAGATGAACCAGTTGCAGGGCCTGGGGGCAGAAGGAGGAGGAGGAGGAGGAGGGACAGCCATCAGTCAGAGAGGGGAGGGGGCGCGCTCCCCGCACCCACAAGCCCCA